AGAGCCAATATCAGAAAAATGTCAAATTTTTGTGATTTTTTTCCACCCTCTATTTTCTCTTCTTCCACCTGAGCGGCAACTTCTTTTTATTTCTCCTAATGTGGATAACACTGGTAAATGGATCACAGGATATCATAGAATTCTCCAATTAGCACACACATCAAATGCCCGAGTCAAATTCACAGAGAGGATAGAAAAAAAGACCCTCATATTGTCACAAACCGCCACATCGCAAATAAAAGCTCCCACTATCGCATAAGAAATTCATTTTTTTGTTTTACTGTCATCTTATTTTTGATGTGAAATCAACTGAGTATTTCCAAATAACATCTATTGAATTTGAAATACAGTCAACCGCAAAGTACATTTAATATAAATTTCAAACAAGAGTTTATTTTCCTGAAAAAAATTGAGAGAATACTTTTTTTCCCATTTTCTTTTATTTTACAAACAACAAATTAAACAATTCATACAAACCTACGTAGTTCTTGATGTGACTTTATGCTTGTTCCATCAGGGAATGCCACAGTGAGTTACTCGCATGGTTTGTTTGGCACAGTTTTTATGGCTTGATCATACCACCCCATTTTTCTCCCCATTTGGGCTTGGGAGATGCAGTAGCTATGAACATGGCAAACGGCACAAACAACAAATTAAACAATTCATACAAACCTACGTAGTTCTTGATGTGACTTTATGCTTGTTCCATCAGGGAATGCCACAGTGAGTTACTCGCATGCTTTGTTTGGCACAGTTTTTATGGCTTGATGATACCACCCCATTTTTCTCCCCATTCGGGCTTGGGAGATGCAGTAGCTAAGAACATGGCAAACGGCAATCGAAAAATAGATGCACATTCACTGCCACTTTGCAAGTCAAGAAATGTGTGGGGTTTTTTTTTTAGATTCGCAGGAATTAGGTGTGTACGTCTTGACAATGACAAAAATGCATTTCATTCCTCACAGTCTGAGTGCATTGGTCCCATTCTGATGATAGCTTCTTCCCTCCTCAAATCAAGTCATCTAAATGAGGACCTGAAGGACAGAAACTGAAGGCACCAATTGCTCAACATCATTTCCATATTAACCCTTTGAGGGACAACGTTTACTACAGTGGACAGTTTATCATGTTATCACGTTACAGGATGCATAAAAGGGTTAAAAGCCTTTCATGTACACGCAAAGACACCCCCCCAACAACCCCCAACTGCGCCAACGCATTTTATTAAAGTCTGATAGGAATTACCTTTCAAATAAGTCATAATATGTCCATAAGGTCCATCAATATCAAATGACTCATATTTATATAACATGATGTGAAGGAATAGGGTTAATCCTCGTTCACTTTTCTCAGAGCGTCGAAGAATCAGAGAGTTTGAATCTTGGCTTTTCAGTCTTATTGACAACAAGTTAGGAATATTTGGCTAAAATCTCAAGTGGAACATTGTTCCATTACCTTGACAGGTACAATGTTTAAACTATCAATGCATGTTGTCCGCCTGGGCGGTGTTTCACAAACAGTGAGAAATGTTGAATTATGTTGAAAATATTTTATTTTGAAACAAAAACGCAAACTAACACTGTACTAACCCTGTCGTAAAAGGCCATCGCTAAGTCTTTCATCACCATGACAAGGATGTTGTGACTTGTCCTGAAACAGCCCAGAGTCTGAAGAGAAACACCGACCTCCATGAACGCCAAGTGGAGGCAGAACTTTAGCACCAAGCTACTGAATTGTTCAGAAGGGTGTGGATTCATGCATGTGGCCAAAGACAAATATCCCTGGGCCCTGCCCCTACTTCACATATTTCAAACTCAAGGCCCGGGGGCCGGATCTGGCCCGCCACATCGTTTTATGTGGCCCGCGAACACAGTTCAAACATGTCACCTTCCATGATCCTTTCTAAAATGTCTACCAAAATTTTACATTTTCATATGTAATAAATAAGAGATATATTCTAAGCATTTTCTAGTGACCAAACCCCTCATGATCGTAACTTAAACAACTGTTGAATAAACCGTTATTCTTGACTTTTTAATATGGTTTCAGTCATAACGGCCCTTCAAGTGAAACAGGAACTAGAATGTGGCCCACGACAAAAATGAGTTTGACACCCCTGCCCTACATTAACAATTTGATGTGCACTGTCATTTCGTGGTAACCAATCCAGGGTTGTCTGCTTTTTGCCCAAAACCCAGGTCGTACTCGCTGATTAAAAAGTGAGCGCCCCCCCCCCCACACACACACACACACACGCAGAAAATGTCCATTTTTGTATTTTAGACACTAGTGTAAACCCAAACATTTCTCCAAACCTTCTTGGCGTGTCACATCCCACATCCGAAAGGAACGTCATCTTAACAGATCTGCCGCATTTCCAGATGAAGAATCCAGTCACCATGGCAACAAAGACTTTCGCCTCACCAGCTCCCTTTGCTTGGCACTACTTTGAATTGAGAGCTGTGAGACAAATTTAGAATCTGTTCTTGCAAAACTTCTCCCCTCCCTTCCACCCCCACACACACATCCCAACTCTTGGACAATAAAATGGAATATCTGGACCAGATAGAGACAAACAACTACGATTTCGATGTAATGACATACAATATAAAACACGGATATTGTGACACCACATCCGAGAGTGTTGTTCTTGCTCCGACTTAAAAAAAATAATTCGGCTGTGGTTTGTTGTTTCACTTCTCTCTTCTGAGTGCCTCCACCCTTCTCCAGCTCGCCCGTTCACAGTCACTGCATTGTCATAATTTGTCAGATGGGCAGGGTAGTGACTCATGCTAAGCTTACTGTGCATCTTAGCAAGAAAAGCTTACTTTTGTCAGGGCCTTCATGAGCACGCCACTGCGACTGTGTGGATTACATAATTTCATGTTCCTTTAAAGGGGCGACTGCATTACGTTGAAACAAAGATCCTCGAACACCCAACTGGCCTTGCCTTAATGTGCATGCGAGTCGATACAACAAATGCTAATTAAGAGCTTCCAAAGGGAAATATTATGCATTTCTTTTCACAATTCCCAACAGTTCTCAAGTGTCATGATAAAAGATTCCTGAGAGTATTTTTCATTCGCTATTCGACAGCGGGCCACCCGTCCATCATTATTTCAAACCGACCCAGACCGTTAGTCTTCAGTCTTTCACTCCGTCATTGTTGTTTTAACGGCGCTTCCGTCATCGCTAAATTACATTCGTCGCCATTATTTTAGGACGATCAGAAACCCGAAAGTCTTTCGGCGGCAGCATATTGACGATAGCCAATCGGCGTTGAAGACATACTACTTTCGACGTCACACGCAGGTGCAGCGCAAGCAGACACACAGCCAAATAAAGTTTAAAAAAAAAAGGCGGAACGTGGTCATTGGTGATATAAAAACAAAATGGGACAATGTCATTGCAGTCTGTGGGACTGAAAGGTATACAACAAAAGCTTCTTTACTGGCTGGGGCAATCTAAAAAAAGGAGCAGGCTTGCAGAATGCGAACCGAGATTCACGACGGGTCACCAGATTGACCAGCAACGTTTAAACTTAAAACAAACACACGCGAGATACGCAGCACGTGTTTCCGTCATTGTCGGTGAAATGGGAGTCCGCTTTTACTAATGGACTGCCCACCACTTGGTGAAGTGATGATTCGGGTAATGGGCGAAAAAAACGCGCCGGTCAACGAATCGTCCGCCAGTGTGTCAAAGTTTCCGTCATTTGCAGGAAAACAGAACGCCATTAAACCTCTGCATATTTAACTATAGCGAAAAGAAAACGAGGAAAAAGAAAACACAAAACTGTACATGAGCCGCTGCTTGTGTATGTGCCGCCATCTTGGGTATGCACTTTAATACTATCTGTACTGACTTTGTAATGTAAATCATCTTGTCCAACTCTCAGAAGCATTCACGCATTTTTTTTTAAGCCGGGAATTTCTATACACCTCTCATGTACAATACGCAAAGCCACCTTACCAGTTTGTGCAATTACCGTGATTTTGTTCTCGTCAATGCATTACGTATCATTTCAGTGTTTCTATTTGATTACCTTTTTCCGATGTACCGAACGGAGCAGCACTCCCACTTTCATTGTATTCCTCTTGTAGAATGAGAATAAAGGCATTCTATTCGACTCTATTCTATTCTTCTGGCCAAATACTCTAAGGATGAATAATTACAGTCAACAAAAACCCATGTGTCACAATCTGGTTGAAATTACTTTGCCAGGGTGGTGCTGTTTCCTGAAAATGCCAAATTCTTAAATAGTGAAGCAAGTTACCGGCAACGTTGCCACTTTTAGTGTGGATTTGCAGACTTCTAGAGACTGGGACTCCTTCCAGACTGCGAAAGAGGGATCTAGCGTACTAGATCCCTCACATCCAGTCAGCAAAGAATGGCGCATGTGTGATCCTGCTTCAATTTAACCATGACCATTTCTGTAAATTTCAGAATGGCTCAGACTGGTTGCTAACCAATCGCAGGGCACACATTTATGAACGACTATTTGCACTCCCAAATTTGTTATTCATGTTTTTGGAATGTGGGAGGAAACCGGAGCACCCGAAGAAATAAAAGCAATCGTGAATTGAGGCTCTGCTCTGCAGTAAAAACAAAAACAACAGTCACGTTGCAGTAGCTGCAATCAAAGCCAAAATATCACAAAGGTATTGGTAAGGCAGCTATTGACCGAAGTAGAATGAAGGGCTTGAGTAGTTCCCTGTAAACCTGGTTAAGCCAGTTACAAAGGAGTGGTGTGTTTCTTTCTGTGCTGACTTTTTCTCTATGTGCTTCTATGTGTGTCAGGTTTCGATTGCCAAAAGGCCTGCATGTTGCTTTCTCCAACATACTTTTAATTGAAGTGTGTGTGCGTGTGTGTGTGTGTGTGTGTGTGCGTGTGTGTGTGCGCGCCTGTTGCAAGGCGAAAAGGGACATGAGGAGAGGCAGTACTGATGCGGCCCAACCTGTTCTCCTGGTTGCCATCGAACTTCTCGGCATTTAACTGGCAGATCTCTTCCATCCTTGTGACAGAGCAAGAGTGACACGCTGAAGAGGACACCTCTCTCTCTCTCCCTCTCTCTCTGGGCTTTCCTTAGGTGGAGGAGTCCCTGGAAGCAATATACAGTGAGTGCACCTTTCTTTCCTAAGACTCCCATGGTGTGATGACAAAAAAAAAAAAAAAAAAACTTAAGATGTAGTCGATTCTGACCTGTTGCAAGTGTGTACTGTATATGTTAAATTGCTCCATGTACAGCACTTTGTATGCAGCGATGGCTGTTTGAAAGTGCTGTATAAATACAGTTGAGTTGAGTTGAGTTGAGTGTACTGACTTAAACTGGTTGTCGGTATGTCATATCATCTTTTATTTGTGTATGCGTGTGTGTGTGTGTGTGTGTGTGTGTGTGTGTGTGTGTGTGTGTGTGTGTGTGTATAAAATAAAAAGCAATTCAATACATCTCGATACATAGGGTGCAATATGATTTAAGGACAGTTTGGCTTGAAAGTGCAACAATTCCATTTGATTCAATCCAGTGGTATTACAAATACGATTTGATATGGTGAGGCTCAGTTCGAGAGCATATGCTGCAATTAGTTTCTTGTCATTTTACTGTCTGTACATATATATATATATATATATATATATATATATATATATATATATGTATGCACACATCCTGTGGACACCATCACAGCTAGAAAATACGGTGATTATTGGGCTTCTGACTTTTAGCAAGATGAAAATGTCCAATTGAATTTGAACAGAAATGAAGATGTCATATTTTCTGTCGTATGAATTTTATGCTCCCTCTCGTTAAAAAATATATTGGTGTATTCCATTTATCTATATGACTGATGCGTTTTATTCAAGCAGCTGTCGTGGCATGTGAAAAGCTAAAATATTCGTCTTGGTATTGTAGCATGAGCCACCATATTTTATTTTTGGGTTACCTGGTCTGCGCATCCACTGGCCCTTTTTCCTCTGTGGTTGTGTTGCAATGTACCTTGCTGAGTTTACATGATCTTCGGGTGTGGTTGACAGGCAGACTGTTATGTGACGGAATGCGCGTGTCGATCAGTGCACCGTGTGCGGGAATGCGAACCGACTGGTCCGCATGTATGCATTCCTCTGCAGAGGCCTCGGATTCTTGAGGTGCGGTGTTGGAGGGTGTTGTTGTTTCTGCGTCTCGCTGAACGGTTCCGGTTAGGGAATAATGACCAATCATGAGGCAAATGGGAATGACATTCTAGTGAAACCCTCAAAATGAATCCATATATCCAACAGTGATCGCTGGGTTTCTTTCTTTTGATGCATATTCTTACATAGGGATCAACTAACGCAAGCAAACAGGAGTTGTCCAGAGTAGCACAATGTAACTGAAATGTCAACTAATAAGAGGACGCTTATTTAGCCCATTTGATATTCTGCATATAGCATGTTGACATTAAAATAAAAATGACATGACATCATCTGCCCTCTCACTGTATGATATAAAACTGGTCAAGGAACCTGTAGCTGTTGTTGTCTTGAGCTTCACATTCTTTTCTAGTAAAATTGTACATTATTTTATTAGAGGACGCTAACAAGAGTTTATTCAGTAGAATGTTCAACAAATACACATTTTATCCATCCAGTATGAATCTGACTTATATTGTTGTGATCTGGCATTGAAGAATACTCTTTTTCCCGTTTTTTAGCGAGACTGTACTTGTGCAGAGCAGCTTCCGTGATATGTCTAAACACACCTAAGATAGAATGGTGAGTAAGAGGAACTCACTCAAATAATACCATCATGACCATTGCTTTGTTGAACTCTCAGAAGTAATCACAGTGTCAACCGATTTGTAACCAAGAGCGCAGACAGCATGAGCTTCTCTTCTCAAAGACTGGTCTTGGAAAATGCTGGGAAAGGATCGGTCGTTCGAGGAATCCCAGATGGCACATTTGTCGCATCCAGTGGCGTGCAGGCAGGTAAGCGAATCAGTAGATGTGTGTTGTTTTTTTTTACAGTCATTAACGAGACCTGGGTGAAGGATTTGAGACTAGTTTGATGAGTGTCCGATGGTTTCAGATGATATTGTAGCAGCCACGATACACCTTGATCATCTCAGCCAAAACGAAGTGCAGAACATCCTGAAAGCGCTGCAGCCGTACGATAACAACATGAAAGTGGTGACAAAGAAGGAGCTCAGCACCACCGCCAGCCTCAGCTCGTTGGCATTGGATCTTCAAGACCCGTCGGAGGTAAATGTTATTGTTCAAGGCAACGAGAAGGACTGGTGAATATTACAATGAAAGCAAAACAATCACCACGTATTTATTGTTTTTGATAAATAAGAATTTCTGATTTTGTCTGTAAATGCGGAGACATTATATTGTAATCAGTACCAGTCTGTCTGGTTGGTGATCTTTCCAGTTTCATAATATCATCCTGTATTTTTCACAACTGAAACTTAGAGTAGAATATGCCACGTCCATTTTAGCACTTCGATTCATCCTTTATGTGACGTTATCGAGAATTCTACTCTCCTAAACTCCGGTTCCAATGAAAGGGTGTGTCTTATGTTTTTTTTTTCAACAAAGATACAGAGAACATTCACAACTCACAAAATTTGAGACTGTATTTTGTTCGTTTTTTTTTTTTTTTCCGGGAGGTAATTGTAACTGAATAACTCAATGCTAAATGACAAGATGCCTTTCCACGTGAAAGGTTTACAGCAGTACCAACATGACGTTTTGATGTTATGCACAAATCAGAGAGTGCACAGCGTTGTTACCATTTGTCATCATGAAGCACAACAAAGCTTTTTTTCAAAATTATTATTATTATTATTTTTTATTGTACTCTAATTTGGATTTTAGATTAGTGATAAATTGCCTCTATCATCCACATCAACTTGATGTTATAACACTGCTTAGTTTCAAACTGAGTACTTAGATCATGTGTTTAGCCACACGGTGCATCAAAATCAAAAGCAAATAACACGTGTGGCAGTCTTGCGTTCTGGCTACTAGTATGGATAAACACATCGCAGAGTCACTCCTCAGTTGGGAACCATCACCTTCGTGGCATCTCATGACATACACTTCTGAGAAGTATGGTTATTCTGAAAGGATGATGAAGAAAGATGGCACACCCATGTTTAAGATATCCTTTATTTGTCCCACAATGGGGAAATTTTCATTTCATCATCAAAGTTTCATTACTTAAATAATCTGAGATTGACCAGAATGAAGTTTTTTTTTTTTAATCGATTGAGCTTTGCTACATGACCATAAAATTTGAAACTGAAATTCATATTTGTGCTTGAAATTGCCATCCTGAACATGTTTATAGACAAGAAAGTACAGTTTGTTGCTATACACAAGGTGAATTTAATTAAAAAAAACCCTCCTGGTGCATTTTATGTGCCTCATAATTAGAAAGCTGCTCCTCAAACGAAGTCCTTGATGAGCAAAGTTTATTTCGAGCCTTGTGTGTTTTCACAAAACCTTTGAAAAAGTTGGGAATCTAACTTTTTTGTTTGTTTTTTTTTTAATCAACAGATGATCAGTGGTGACTTCAACAAGGAGACAGATTTGGATATGTCGGCTGAAAAACATCTTTCTCATCTTGACAGCCTGACAGAAAAGTTACATGACGCACATGTTGGGAGTGAATTCAGTGGTTCAATGGGCAATGATCTTCCCTATGTAAATCTCACCAATCCATCAGCTGATGCTGGTGCAGAGTTTGAGTATGCCTCCCATGCACAAGTTGGTCCAGGTCCTGATGGCATCCTCGCAACCCCCAATGTGTCCACTCCCCACCTCAACAATCACAGTGTTTTACTTGATATTGACAAACCACAAGTAAAGACAAGTGACCTTCGTTACAGAGCACCGCACTTTACAATGCCAAAATTTGATGCACCTGCGGTCAAAACACCAGAGGTAGGCGGTGACCTAAATCTTCCTTCTGTGAATGGAGAAACAAAGGGCCTCAGCCTATCTTCCCCCAAATTAGACATGAATGGAAAAAATGTGGATCTGAATGGACCAAAAGTGGATTTAAATGGTCCCGGAGTTAACATTGGAAGCTCTAATGCTGACATTAGCGTATCATCAGATCCTTTCAAGTGGCCCCACCAAAAGTGGAAGCTGAAGAAGCCCAAACTTCCCACTGCAAAAACCGATCTGGACTTAGACGCAGGCCTGAGCACACCAGAGGTTGATTTATCTGCACCCAAAGTGGAAGGTGGATTACATGCACCATATATTGATGCTAACTTGCCAAATGCCGACCTTCATGGCCCTGATTTAGACATTCAACAGCCAGAGTTTGATGGATTGTCTGGTAAATTTGTCTGGCCTCATCAGAAATGGAAGAAACCGAAAATAAAAGGCCCAAAGGCAGATTTGGATGTAGACACAGGCTTGCATACACCCGGTTTAGATCTGTCAACTCCAAAGCTTGAGAGTGGCATGAATGCTCAGCTTGACCTACCAAAAGCTGACTTAAAAGGTCCCAGTTTAGATGTCGAGGCCCCTAATCTTGGCATTGATACTCCATCTGGGAAAAAAACCTGGCACCTGAAGTTGAAGAAACCCAAAGCACCTGACCTAAAATTGGACACAGATGTCAGCACGCCAGATATTGGTCTTTCTGTTCCAGGCATTGATGGTGATATTAATGCACCAAATGTTGACATGAATTTACCCAAATCCGATCTAAACGTTAATGCACCAGATACGGGCATTGAGACTCCGTCGGGTAAAGTCAAGTTCCGAACATTGAAAAAGCCAAAGTTTCGGTTTGCTGGACCCAAGGTGAAAACTCCAAGTGTTGACCTTGACACTGATGTGAAAGGCCCTGACCTTAGACTTTCTACTTCACAGGCATCACTTCATGGCCCTGATCTGAATTTACCCAAAGCTGATGTTGATGTTGAAGTGCCTGATGTAGATGCATCTGGAAAGATCAAATGGCCCACCCTGAAAAAGCCAAAATGGTCCATCTCTAGTCCGAAGGTGAATGGTCCAGATTTAGATGCTCATGTTTCAACACCTGACCTAAGTCTCTCAGCTCCAAAAATCGATGGTGAGCTAAATGCACCAGACCTAAAACTAAAAACTGCTGAATTGAATGGACCCAAGTTAGACATTGATGCCACTGCTCCATCTGGGAAATTCAAATGGCTCAAGAAACCCAAAATTGGTACACTGAAAGGTCTAAAATCTGACATTGATGGTGATATCAAGGTGCCAGATGTGGATCTCAGGTCACACGATATAGATTTAAAGACACCAAATATTGAAGGCCCAGACCTCAATTTCAGCACGCCAAATGCTAATATCAGAGGCCCTAATTTAGATCTCCAAACCCCCACTCCAAATATTGAATCAACGGATGCCAAACTGAAGCTACCAAAACTTAAAATGCCCAAATGGCCAAAAGTCAAGGGCCCCCAGCTTGATACCGATTTAAAAGCTCCAAATATTGATGCCAATGCTGATGTTCCGAATCTAGATGTAAATGCGTCCAGTGTAAATCTAAACGCACCTGATCTGTCCTTGTCAACACCAAAGCTTGGAAGTAGTCTTGATACACCAGACATTGATCTGCAGTCTCCAGTACTTTCAAATGGGCATCTCAGGTTTCCTAAACTGAAATTGCCGACATTGTCAGGGCTAAAGGCTGAAAAGCCTAATGTTGATCTTAATGCTGATGTCAAGGGTCCGCATCTTGATATGGCTCCTCTCAATATAAATGCACCTGACTTGAATCTTTCAACTCCCAACATTGATGGTGTTATTGCTGGTCCAGATGTAAGTCTGCCTAAAGCAAATTTAAGTGGCGTACATTTTGAGCTACCCGATAATGACGCAGGCTTACCACGGTTGAATCTTTCTGGCCCTCAAATTACAAGATCAGGCGCTGACATGAATCTGGAAGCACCTGATGTCAGACTCAACAGTCATGTTCCAGGAGTGGACATCGGCATGCCCACTCCAGAATTTAAAGGCCCGGAGGCACAGTTAAAATCACCAGTTATAGGGTTGGATTCCCAGGTGGAGGACTTTACATTGCCTCATTATAAGCTTCCGAACTTAGATCTTTCAAGCCCTGGAGTAGAACTACCCAGTGTTCATCCCTCAGTTCAGACTGGACTGGATGCCCCCAAAGTCAACATAGGTACACCTAAAACAGATGCAGACATATCTGTTCCGACAGTAGATTTAATTGGTCCAAATTTAAAAGGTAACATTAAAGGGCCAGAAGTCGATGTGGAATCTCCTGGTCTTGAAAAGCCCAAATTGCCACATTTCAAGGTTCCAAAACTAAGTTTCTCAGGATCAAAAACTAAAACTGTCAGTCCAAGATTGTCACTTGATGGCGAAATCTCACCTCTCACAGTCTCTTCCCCTGAAATAAGCACCAACAGTCCTGAAATAGCAATGAGAGCTGGAGATGCTGAACTCAAAGGGTCTCCCAAAAGTAAATTTAAATGGCCCTTTAAATGGGGATTTAAATCCAACTCAGTGGACACCGAGGAGTACGAAATCAATGCTGAAGAGGATGCTCCCAAATTCAGAATACACACCTTGCCCAGACCCTGCATAGACACGAAAACAGGAACTCCAGATATTTTTAACCTGTCCAAATTTGACAGTGAGGCCAAGGATTATGTCGTCAGCAAAGGAATCCGTTTACCAGTCGTAAATGCACCATCAAGAAATGGAGAAAGGGTTGACATTATGGAGCGGTTGAGAATGGCGATGGAAAAAGCACCGTCATCGAACGCTTCGCCAACTGAGGAGAAAAATGTCAGCCTGAACATGGCTAATGCAAATTTTCATGCCTCTGGTGAAGCAGGAGACTCCAGTTTCTTTCGAGGAGGGACTTTTAAAGTAGAAAAGCCGGAGTTCCCACTGGGCTCGATAGATCACGCAAGTTTCGCCGATGAAACAGATGAAAGTAACAAATTATCATTAGGCCTCTCCAATATGCTCGGACTTAATGTCTAGAAGGCCGATGTTTACTGCTAGGTTGCATAAATCTGACCCCAGCCAAGAGAAGGCCAAATGAAGAGAGCTGTTTCTCTAAGCTATGTGCATATCCCCATTATTTATATTGATATATAAGGATTTGTATCTTTTTTTTTCAAGATTGATTTGCAGATATGATGCTTTTCCTTGTGCATTGCCTTTGTCAACACTAAACTGTTTCATTTTTAGATAAGTAACATAATTTCCTTGTTAATGAAGTAACTGTGAATGAATGTAATTGAAATCTTGCGTTGGATAAACACACCGGTATATTAAAATACATATTCAGTGATGATGAAAACAATCTTGTGTTGTATCACAAGTTAGCATGAAGTAGAAGGATGCAATGTTAATGAAATGAGTTCCTACGGATTTGGAATCGGATCTGCAGGATTGAAGGTCCGAAATTCCAAATCCTGTGGTGATACAAGTCATTTTAAAATGAAAGCTGTGAAATAATACCTTTTGAGTAAAGTACATTTATTTACATATGTACTGATCGGATTACACAAACATAAATATCACTTCCGGTGACTACTTTTACATGGAGTCAATATTCGGGTTAAGGTCAAAATTCCGTTTTCTGAAAAAAAAAATCGGAATAATCCGTTATCATTCTTGAGTGAATTACTCCCGCATTTGAAAATCTCGATTTAACGGTGGCGCACGGACAACGTTGTGGATGTAATTTCAGTTTACCGTCAATAAAACAGATTATATTCATGTCACTCACCAGAAGAACAAAGCAGTCGTTTTTCTCTTCGTTCCTAAAGTGTGCTGCTTTTCTGCGCGTGGCTGCATACGAGTTTCGCCAAGGTTGTTTTGTTTACCTCTGCTTGTGCATTAGGGTCGAATTGCGCCCCAGACGCACGGACTCCGAAACACACATATATGTGTATGTGTACAGTAGATGTAAATGGTGTCATTTTCACCGTAGAGACAGAGAATAACGTGAAAACGCAGAGAAATCATTATAAACTCGCCACGGTGAGTAAACGGGATGTTGCGCAAACAAGGACTTCTTGGACTCAAAAGACCGAGAGTCCTTGCGGTAGAACATGTGCAGAACACAAACTAACGTTCAATGGAGGTTACCGAAAGGCGTTAATATGACCAAATATTCGGGTTAGAGAAAGAGGCAACTCGGAGGTCTAATTTGGATTTTTAAAAACCCAAATAAGACTACATGGCCTTTACAAACCCGAAACTGCCAATATTCAGCTTTTCAAAGTGCAATTTGAACGATTGCAGTGATTCATTTTAATGCTAAATGTGAATAGGAGTTTCACATATCATCCAAGGATGAACTCTGGCTCACCGAAGAACTTAACATATCCTGTAAACGCTGTTCTTTAGTAATCGTTGTTAACTGCATTAATAATTGAGTCATTCAATTGGGAGAATCAACACATCTCACTCAACATTTCAGAGTGTTCCGAAATTTTATTTGGTTATCCATAATTTCCTGAGAAAAAAAATTCAGATGAAGCTGTTTATTTCTTTGTTATTGTTGCACTCCAATAAACGGTGGCAAACAATATTATGGAGTCCAATGTATATCAAACATTATGAGAAAAATCATAAAGAAAAAACAGGAGAAACACCCAGTGGATAATTAGTGAAAGAAGTTAATTTGTTTGCTGCCAGCGTGATGGCCAATCCTTTTCCATCCAGCTCTGCAACAACCGCAACACGTCGATCCGCTGGTAAAAGCGACACAGTTCAGTGAGCTCGGTGACAGGTTTCTGGTTGTAACGGAGTAGGAACTCCTGGGTGGGGCTGTGGGACAGAGAACCTTGGGTCCGGTACTCCAGCAGGGTGAGCTCGTCATAGCTCATCCCCCAGCGGCTCGCAAAGTTCTTCCAGTTTTTGACAGTGCAGTGGTTCGGGTCCAGCTTGAGTCGCAATAAGTCCAGAAGATCTTTGTCGTTCAGGAGGTCACTGATCTTGGGAGGAGGTGCAGGACGACAGCATTTTTCACAAGGGCTGTTTAGCTGTAATTGGAGTTCTTTGGGGTAGTCTTCTTGGCAGAGACATACAAATGAGGACATAAATATGAAATGAATAGGCTGGATTGGAAAATAAGTATGGTCAAAGAAGAGATCGTGATTTTACGCATTTATTTTCATCTAGTATCGTATTTGTTTGATTATACTACTCATAAAGAAATGCTCTACCTGGTGACGTAGATGTTGGGCAGGTACATTCTTCACTATCTTTCACTGGCTATAACAGAAAACACACAGTAGATGTAACTTGAAAGACAGGAATTCTTCTCTTTCCACTGAGGTATCAATTTCTATCATTGACATCTTAGACACCCATTCAACAAATAAAAACATGGAGTCAGGTAATAAATAATATTGCCTTCATCCGGATACCGCAGGAAAAAGCCGACACACCTTTGACTTGTAGCCACCAGAAAATTATTGACCAAAAATTATTTATACAGTGTACCTATTTTATGTGTCCACTTTTTAGTGGGGTAATATGCAAATACATCAACTTAAAAATAAAAAAACACCATGTCAGGACCGGTGTTTTATATACTACAATGCTTGACATATTTCTTAGAATATCTTCAGAGAACATCTAACATCTTGAAGTCTTTTCAAGAACTCTTCAATGAGCTCTCACTGTGTCACCATTTTGAACAAGAATTACGAAATTAAACTGAATTTTACTCTTTCCGTGCCTGCACGTGTGATGTGTATTTCTGTGAGGTGTCCAATACAAAATTCACAGATTAGTGTGGTTTTAAATTTCTCTTTGAAGGATCAGAACTAATACAGTACGTAAATAAAAAAAAAAAAAAAACAGTATACCTATACCCGAGTATGAGCAGACTCAATGAGCTTCGGTGAGAAGTCAAAAATTAATCGAGCATCATATTCAACAAGTAAAACATCGACATATTTTTGCGGTTCAAGTCTATAACTTTGACATCATAATCGAGACTCAAGGATGTACTGTTTTAAATTGTCTTTGTGTGTGTGTGTGTGTGTGTGTGTGTGTGTGTGTGTGTGTGTGTGTGTGTGTGTGTGTGTGTGAGTGAGTGAGTGTGTGTAAACCTGTGAATTTGAAGACTCAATGACAGTAATAAAATTTTAGCACCAACAATAGAATTAAAATATAAAAAACATCTGGTCTATAAACCCCTATTACAGTGGTATCTCTACTTACGAAATTAATTTGTTCCGGAAGAAACTAGAAAATTTTGTTTAAGTAGAGACGCATTTTCGATGTAAATGCCCTCATCCGTTCCAAGCACCCCAAAATTCAGACATAAATGTTTTCTAAAACGAATAGATTTTACAAATTATATTATTGCACAATAAATGAGAGTTGTGCATCATGTAAAAAACAAAGAATAAAGAATAAAAATGATGGTCATTTAACTTTTAACTGTGTCCTCTTTCGTTCATGTTCTCTCTCAGAAGTGGTTTTTGCGTGGCCTTTTGTAACGAACTGAGCAAAGGATGTCTGCTTTTGTCGGCTTTTAACAATACTTCGAAAATGTCCAAGGCAAACATTAGCATAGTGAGCGATCGCCTGACTGGTGAACACTTTTTCTGAGGATTCACATTTATGTAAAACTACCGGAACGCCTCATGGCCCGATAGGCGAATGACGAGGATGCTGCATAAACACACATCTATCTATCGACACACAGACACACAGGTCCCTCTTAGCCAATGGAATGCCAGGATGATGCTCTGGAATAGCCAATGGCAGAGCAGCGATAAGTATGTTGCGTTCATGTAACTCGGAGCTGCGAGTAGCAACCCATACTATATTTATACTTTTCGTATCTTGAAATTTCTTTCCTAACTAGACGCAATACTTTCCTGTTGAGGCGTTTCGTAACTTGAAATTTTCGTATGAAGAGACATTCGTAATTAGAGGTACCACTGTACCGGTAATTGTATTACTAATTACAGGTGATTTTAATACAGGGAAGCTGTGGCATAAACCTTCCACTGGATGGTGGTCTGATAAATGACAAACACTGATCGTACTGGAAAGATACAATTTTGCGACTGTTCTGTGAAGTTTAACTGAATGGGTGAAAGAAACATGATGATGCACACAATTCAGCAATAGTCTAAATACTGACCTGCCTGATTCTGTTGGAGGGGCTCAAGTATCCAGAGGGCATGGAGCTCAGGTGGAGTGTCACAGCATCTAGGGGAGAAGCTTCATCTTAGAATTGTAATGAACAGCCCGGTCACTCAATCCATCTCCTGCTTCCATACCTTCAAAGGAACGTCATCAGGACCAACTGTTGAAATTTCAATTTTTCATCCGCTTTAGTGTCTTTCTAACTTCCCTCTTCCTCATCACTTCCACTTGCTGGTCCACCCCAGTTGCCTTTTCTACTCTTCCTTCACCCTCATTTTGATGAACTCGAAATTGATCATGACATTAAATGATAGTGGTTGAAATGCAGCACATTATTTAACAATACCGGGGCCTTCTCTGCTAGCCTTAACATTCTCAGAAGCACTGACCTACATTCATAACCTTAATTCTGAAATTAGTTTCATGAAATGATATTTATTTTAGGTGTATCATAGCGTTTTTCTGTACTGCTCCCAGTGACTATACAGTATGTGTATGTTGGATGTTTTTTTTTTTTTTTGTGGTCAGGTCAGACTTAAGGCTCTGCAATTTCAATCTAATCTGTCAATTAACTACAATGTCAATCTAATCTGCCCAATGCCTTTGTGGGTTAAATAAACAATATTAACTACTTCTTGAACCAGCCAGATTTGGAAAAATCGTCCGAGAGGGTCAGAACAAACCAAGTACAACACATTAATCCAGTGGTTCTTAACCTGGGTTCGATCGAACCCGAGGGTTTAGGTGAATCAGTCTCAGGGGTCTGACAGAGCCTCTGTCATGGAGGTTAAGACACACCCGACTCAACATGTCAATTCGATAGAACAGTGTTTTTCAACCCCTGTGCCGTGGCACACCAGTGTGCCGCAAGACATTGTCAGGTGTGCCGCGGGAAAATATCCAATTTGTATGCCTGTGTGCCTATCGCCCAGAAAGTAATCATGTAGTACCCTCCCGTACCGCGAGGGAGCAGCAACAGCTAGCCAATTGCCTTGTGTTTAGACGAGAGACAAGCGAATTTGTGACGCATGAATGCAGGACGACGGTGAAACAATAAATATGAAAGATGAGAAAATACTTTTTTCTTTGTGTTCATTTGATTCCAATTCAAACTGTTACAACGTCATTCTTCAATGTTAAAAACGGTTATAGTAACAATATAACATACACGTTCATTATTCAAATAAGCGTTTTTTTTTTTGTTTTGTTTTTTTTCCCACATTTTTAGCTAGTGGTGTGCCGCGAGATTTTAATAATGAAAGAAGTGTGCCTTGGCCCAAAAAAGTTTGAAAAACTCTGCGATAGAACACACCCGCTTGGCCATCACTGACTGGTTCATTTTGTGCACAATTAAAAAAACGTATACTTTATACTTCACTAATTGTGTTTACTTTTTTTGCTTTTAATAAATGCATTTTTTATGTCTTGAATTTGGGAAAAAAAAACCAAAAAAACACATTTTTATTTTTCATTAATGAAGGGTTCGGTGAACGTGCACATGAACTGGTTGGGTTCGATACCTCTAACAAGGTTAAGAACCACTGCATTAATCCATTTAATAATCAGCATCTCAGGTGAGTATGATGTATTTTATTTCAATGACTTGTTTTCATTGTGTTAATTCATAAATGAAGGCCCAAGAAACAGATGCACGGGCTGCCCCTGAGCATGCACAGCGGTGTATAAAGACGTTGTCACGCGGAACAAAAAGACACACTCAATTACCACCTGACTAAATGTTTTTCATTAGATTGGTTCATATTTATGGTCTAGAAGTGTTTTTCACATGAAGATTTCCTGTATTTACGACTTCATAGTTCAGCAAAAGACTGCCCTGCATTTTGAACTGCGCACAAATTCGGATCGAGTCACTACCTACCACACAAAAGGAATTTGGTCGCAAACTGAGGGCCCGTATATTTTCGGGTCGCATGGGGTGTAAGACAACATTATCTTGTAGTAGCAGCAGGGGGAAGTTTGAACAAATCATTATTTCAGAGTTGCATGGGTCATCATAATCGATTGATCAATTAATCAATCGTTGAGAATTCTGTCCGTTGTGTGTCACCTATTGTTGATTAATCACATTTTGAAGCAACTGAGCCAACCAGCAGTCCTGTTTTTGAGTCAGTCTCATGTTCACGTTTGGAGTATGCGGCTTGAGAAAGAACATGATGACGTTATGGGTTATGCTATTTGTTATGAAGTATTCACATGTCAAAACAAAAGGGTGATTCTTGAAATACACATAAGAACACACACACACACCCACACACACACACACACACACACACACACATATTTGTTAGAAAACCTTGACTTCTCTTTCAGAGTCAATATTTCCCATACTATAAAATATTGTACTCCAAAGAGATTTGTCATGTGCACACCAACATTTGCACCCCCCACCGCACCCTTGACAAATTCCTTCAATGGAGCAAAAATGACAATCTAGCAAGACTCATTTACCAAGAAAGTCTATTTATCATAAAAATCTAGAATAATCACAATCCTCGTTTTCTTTCTGTTTCCAGTCTCCATGGTGAGTGTTGGTGGGCGGAGTCTCCTCCGTCCCACCTGCTGACGGGTTACCTTGAGCCAAATGTTTCGACGCAGGAGAACCAGAAGGAAGAGTTTCTGTTCATTGCTCATCAAAATTTCGACAGCATTTTATTGCTCCCCTACTTGTTCTTTCTTTGACTTGTCCTGCCAGTAGTTTCTTTCCGTCAGGCTTTTGCTCATAAGCACTATTATTCCTCCAACAGCTAACAATGAAACTCTGTAACAACAATACACGGTAATATCAGGACCGATGTTGTCCTATCTTAATCTCTATCTTTTGCATGGCTGGATGAAATAGAGTAGCTGGCCTAATCTGTAATGTTTACAGTCTTCTCCATTGTGATCCCACCACCAGTCAAGCAGTGTCAAGTTTCACATACCAGAATGGGTGAGGCAGGAAGTCAGACAAAGCATTGTAGGAAGTATTGAATGCCATTAGTCAGCACCAGACTCCTGATTGTAAACCAAGTCAATACATTGACAAGAAAAGCCAGAAATCAACTACGGGTTGGCACCAGTGAATGATTGTGACTGTCCTACTGACATTTTGAACCCTTGCGCTGACATCAGAGGGAGACTGAATACAGCCTCTTGTCATTAAAATATCTGTATTATCCCCTCGAAAGTTGACGGGAGTAATTACGCTATTTAATAGCCCTATGGAGACTTCGTCTTCTGCACCTCGGTCCACATAAAATATTTCATTCTACAAGATTATGCTTCTGAAATTCTCGATTGGAGGTCTGACATGTGTTTCAGATCAAATGCTATGTGGATCCATCCGCCCATCCAGCTATTAACAAAAGTACTTAGGAAGCTGTACTCTTTCCAAGACAATAGTGGCTAGGTGCTAGAGGGAAGGTAGAGGCAAGTCTTTGAGTTCCAGATATAAATAATTGAAAAGGTTACTCTAGATCTGTAATGTGAAATGATTTAATAGACTAGAGCAACCCCCCTGAAACAAATCAAAAACGGCCAGACAGAGTGGCAACACCAGGGTCTCACATTAAGTCTTTGAGCGACTGCCATGAACCAAGCTGTGGTGGCTCTGACAGAGCTGTTCTTGGTCCTGGAAATTCATGACATAATTCTATACGTTTCAATGATTATTTCATATGTGGCATCTTTATACTGCATGAGGACCAAAAGTTAGCAGGAATTATAATCATTATCATTTTAATAGCGGCGGCTCGGTGGACGCGTGGTTAGAGCGTCGACCTCACAGTGCAGAGGTACCAGGTTCGATTCCAGCTGCGGCCTTCCTGCGTGGAGTTTGCATGTTCTTCCTGGGCCTGCGTGGGTTTTTTCCGGGTACTCTGGTTTCCTCCCACATTCCAAAAAACATGCATGGCAGGCTGATTGAACACTCCAAATTATCCCTATGTGTGAGTGTGAGCGCGGATGGTTGTTCATCTACGTGTGCCCTGCGATTGGTTGGCAACCCGGTCAGGGTGTCCCCCGCCTAGTGCCCGAAGATAGCTGGGATAGGCTCCAGCACCCCCCCGCCCCCATCCCAGCCGTCTTCGGGCAGTAGGCGGGGGACACCCTGAACTGGTTGCTAGCCAATCGCATGGTACACATAGACAAACAACCATCCGCGCTCACACTCACACTCAGGGACAATTTAGAGCGTCCCATTAACCTGCAATGCATGTTTTTGGAATGTGGGAGGAAACCCGGAGAAAACCCACGCAGGCACAGGGAAAACATGCAAACTCCACACAGGGAGGCCGGAGCCGGAATCAAACCCTGCACCTTTGCTCTGTGGGATTGACACGCTAACTACTTGACCACCGTGCCGCCCTGAAATAAATTAAGAATCCTAATACATTGCAGGTCAGCTTCCCAAAGCTGATTGTGTTGGACTGTATTGTTCACTGTACGTGCTTTGATTAACGTACTCACCATTAGGATCAGTGACTTGCACCGGGTAATTGGCTTCTAAAGACTGCAACATAAAACAATGAAAGAGCAGTGAAAAAAAAAAATCAAGCTAAAAATAAAGAACCTTTTTCTGGAAGCTTAAATTGCAGCCTGACACACATAAGCCCGTATCTATGGGAGAAAATAACTATGCAAAGACAGCATGCAGGAACTTGTTCTTGTTCCTCAGTGAACTCTCGTGTGCTTGCAGCAGTTTTACAGTTGTACATCTCTTGGTGTAATAGCAAAAGACACAAGCGCAAAGGAGGGATCAAAGGGAGATCACCATAAAGCAAACAAGAAAATGAACACCGAAGACACAGAGAAGTACTTACAAATTCTGCCACAAAGGTGGTGGTGTCTGTGTCCTCCACCGGCTCTGAGTTGATTCTCTCCGCTTCAAAACACAGGGAAATTTGTTAGGTGTGTGCCTGCCATTACACATTTTTTGAACTGTAGATACAGTGCTGCCTTGATGTATGAAGTTTAATTTGCTCTGTGACCAAGCTCGTACCTCACATTACTCCTATCTCAAATCCTCTTTCCCCATTGTAAGAAATGAAAATGGCATTAATCTTAAGGTTGCCACCCGTCCCGTAAAATACGGAATCATCCTTTAATTGGGAACTAAATATTGCGTCCCGTATTATGGGATGCGGCTTGTAATGTCAATTAAATCAAAGCATTTTGTTTTTTCATGTAAATAAAAAAATAGTGATTTTATGTATTTCAGGGGGGTTTTTTTGGTGGAGCCAAACCCTCAAATCTATTTTAACTGCATGGTCTTGCCGCGACGTTGGAGGAGTGTCCCTTATTTCCAGATCTGAAAGGTGACAACCCTAATTAATCCGTTCCTCCCAAAAAAACAACCCCAACATTTTCTTTATTGAGAAAAATATAATGTCATTTTTGACACTGCTTGTCCTGCACAGGGTTGCCTATAACAACAGACTTTGGGCAAAAGGCAGGCTTCACCCTGAGTTGGTCGACAGCCAGTCACAGGGCACAAATTGAGGCGAACAACCATACACAACCACAACCAGTGTCATTGAGCGAGAACCAATGCCACCATGTCCGCAGACAAGTCAGGCGACTGTACTACTGCACCACCAGCAACTCTATTGACAAAAATAGCACTTGATAATGCTGTCCCGTATTATAAACTGTAACTTTTTTCCCATGCTTTGAACCCGGCGTCTTTTAATGTTGTGACACAGTTTATTTATGCATTTTTACTGACAAGCTTCAAGCCGCCAATAGATTTTCCCATAGCCAATGAAATTTCCGAACACGTCACAGTGGACCAGAGTCTGAATACTGAATCTTCATCAGCTATTTGTGGTTGGCGTAAGAGGTGTGGATAGAGAGAGAGGGAGACAAATGTGGGAGTGTGTTAGTGTGTCACCGTGCGCATGCCTGTGTAACGGGCAATAGAGAGTGAAAATAAACATCTTCAGTTGAGTTTAATGGGCATAGGGAACAAGTGCCATAAATACATTACGACCCCGGTTCTCAGCTCGTCCGTGAATTTGCCTCATGTAACCACGAGAGACTGAGAGAGGTAAGAGATGCTACTGTGTAACTAGATGCGTTTGTGATTGGGGGTGAGGGGAGGGGGTGGTGGTGAAGAAGCACCGACCATTGTCTAAGGCACATATGCCAAAGTGCCCACCCGCGGGCCAAATCCGGCCCGCGAGAATGTTTTCAGTGGCCCCTGATTGAGCGAGAACCAATGCCACCATGCCCGCAGACAAGTCAGGCGACTGTACTACTGCACCACCAGCAATATTGACAAAAATAGCACTTGATAATGCTGTCCCGTATTATAAACTGTAACTTTTTTCCCATGCTTCGAACCCGGTGTCTTTAATGTTGTGACACAGTTTATTTATGCATTTTTACTGACAAGCTTCAAGCCGCCAATAGATTTTCCCATAGCCAATGAAATTTCCGAACACGTCACAGTGGACCAGAGTCTGAATACTGAATCTTCATCAGCTATTTGTGGTTGGCGTAAGAGGTGTGGATAGAGAGAGAGGGAGACAAATGTGGGAGTGTGTTAGTGTGTCACCGTGCGCATGCCTGTGTAACGGGCAATAGAGAGTGAAAATAAACATCTTCAGTTGAGTTTAATGGGCATAGGGAACAAGTGCCATAAATACATTACGACCCCGGTTCTCAGCTCATCCGTGAATTTGCCTCATGTAACCACTAGAGACTGATAGAGGTAAGCGATGCTACTGTGTAACTAGATGCGTTTGTGATTGGGGGCGGGGGGTGAAGAAGCACCGACCATTGTCTAAGGTAATACATTTTTTAATCCATCTCTGTAATCTCTTTCTTCGCAAATATCCCATGTTATAACGTGGAGACTCGCGGCTATTAATACGAAGCGAGCAATATATGTAGAAATTTGTTTTTAAGGCCAGATTTACACGTTGTGGCTGTCCGAGTCCGGAAATTACGATACTTCATTAAAACATACAGTAGTTGTCATTGTGCTGCTATTCACCTTGGCAACCTGAGGGTAGCGTAAGACAGAGAGACAGCTACGTGGATTCTCCAAGGACATCTGTACCGTATGGCAGTCTTGGCTCATTGTAGTGTATAAATAATATATTTTGTATTTTGTTTTATTTAACATTTAAACATTTATTTCACCAGGAATGCACCATTGAGATTAAATACCTCCTTTTCAAGGGAGTCCTGGTCAAGAGGCAACAAAAGCTTCAGTTTTATAAAATTAAAATGACACACATATTTTTGGCATGCAATTTCACCATTCTGACATGTAACAACAAAAACATTGCAAACTTCCCCTTTGTGGGACTAGTATTGGTTATCTTAGCTCTTGTTCAGATCTTAATTTTTAAAATGTAGACCCTACACATGACGAGGGTGAGTAAAAGATGTGTCGCTTTCAGCTCTCATTTTGTGTGGTGTATCATTGCCAATCATCAGCCTGCCGCAAACCAGATGTCTGGCATTGACCAAGACTGACCAGTAAGAGGCAGTGTGGTGCCGCAGGGCATCCGACTCAACACAATTCAACAGACCGCGGACATCTAAAAATGACCTGGAATCGTAATGCCACCTTCTTGCCTTGGCGAGAACTGAAGTAACTGGCGGCCATCTTGCGTTACCACTAGCTAAGCGCACCTAACTTGAATACAGACATCTTTTTCCGTGGTAATTTCACGTAATTTTTTTTGTCTCCACTGCAAAAATGCCGCAGTGTATGGCATACAGTTGTACCAACAAGTCTGGAAGAAGCTCTTCGCAAATCATCAGTAAGAATGCAATTAGACCTTTTCTCTCAGAAGGTATATCTCCAAGTGCATTATAAATGTCAGAACCATGAACGGCATACTGTCTATAAGTCATGATTCACAATATTAAGAAGTTTGTTCTTTGCGAGGCTTATCAATAATCCATGCAGGAAGTCTGGTGAAAAACACACGGTGATAACAGTGGTTTCAAGGAAAAAAAAAATATATGTGGTGAAAAACACACGGTGATAACAGTGGTTTCAAGAAAAATAAAATTATTAAAAATATGAACAGAAGTAGTCAGTGACAGTGGCCAACGCAAGATGGCTGCCCTCTGACTTCAGCCTCAAGAGGCAAGTGTGAGTCCCGGTTATTTTTAAATGTCTGTGATGCAGGCTGCTGGAAGATACAAAGAAAGAGTAGTAGTAAACTGTCAAGTACATTGGGGTGACAAACTCCCCCTCCTCATTGGGAAACATGTTATTCAAACATTCCAACCAGTTGCTCCTCTATTTATTCCGCTTATCTCTTGGTCCACAGCCTTGTCACCTCCTGTCTCAATGACTGTAAATCTCTCTTCTTAGGCCTCCCTCACAAGTCCTGCCAAAAGCTTAAACTGGTCCAGAAGTCTGCTGAATGTGTCATCACAAACCCCCATTCCTTCCATCACATCATCCCCTGTCTTCCAGAAAATTCACTGGCTCTCGGTCTGACTCAGAATTCAATTTAAGATGCTTGTTTATTCCTTCAAAGCACTCCACCTGCCTGTCTCAGCAGGGCCTGAAGCCACTCTGCTCCCTGGCTCTGGAACTCTCTGTCACCTGACCTCCGCAATTCAGCCTCTCTTTACCACTTTGAAATCCATCCATCCAGCCATCAATTTCCTGATCCGCTTTATCCTCATAAGGGTGGGTATGGGTGCTGGAGCCTATCCCAGCTGTCTTCGGGCAGTAGGCGGGGAACACCCTGAACCGGCTGCCAGCCAATCGCAGGGCACACAGAGAGGTACAACCATCCATGCTCACACTCACACCTAGGGACAATTTCGAGTGTTCAATCAGCCTGCCATGCATGTTTTTGGAATGTGGGAGGAAACCAGAATACCCGGAGAAAACCCACGCAGGCCCGGGGAGAACATGCAAACTCCACACAGGAAGGCCAGAGGATCGAACCCAGGACACACTTTGAAATCCAAAACTCAAAAGTCACCTATTTAAGATCACCTATGTACTGTAACTGCGTGGCATTGTAGTTTTTTTATGCATATGTATTTTTTTTAATCTTTTCTGTGTAATTCAGTTTTTAATTGTTGTTTTATTGATGTACAGTGTCCTTGAGGGTCACAAAAGATGCTTCCACATAAAATGTATGATTATGATTTTGATTTTTGCTCTCCAAGAGTAGGACCTCCAGGTCATTTCCCAAACGGCTCATCATGGAGACCTTGATTGGCTGAACTCAGTGTTGACCACATCAACAAGGATTTGTTGTTGTAAATAATGAGCACATGTAACATTTTCCAGTTTCTGTTTAGATTTTTAAATTAGCCAATAATTGGGCTTTTGCTGACTTTGATTGGAAGGGCGAATCAGGGTAAAATTCTCCTGATTATTGGTATGTATGTGCCAACCTTGAAACTGAAGATCACATTTTGCTGCTTGGATATTCTTGCATGTCACTCAATACGCAAAACAGCTGGGTAACGTTAAGACTGTGAAAATGACAGGTGTGATGTTGAGAAAAAAATGTTACTACACTCCTTGAATAAACAATAACATTCAGCATTGTGATGTCAGTTTAAAAGAAAAACAAACATTGTGTTTATTTGCAACACTGCAACCTCTCATATGAGCTTGCTGACTCAATCTTCCTTTGCCCTGATTGTTAAACAGATAATTTGATGGAATGATTGATAATTTCTCTTCAACAACATTGCACACACTCGGAATGGCTTTTACTCCCAGATTACAGAGGCAAAACAAATGCTCAGAAATCCTGCTTTTTCGGCCTGAATGCTGTTTAATTGTCAGTCATCAAATGTTCATAATCCATGGTTGTTGGAATTTGGTTTATTAAAATAAAATAAGGACGACTGCGTAGAGTGACTAGCAGAGGTGTGGTCTGAAGCATAAAGGCCATGCTTGGTGGACAACTGTGGCAGCCATTGAAGATCATTTCTAAAAACATAAAGCTACTGTCCTGGACCCCCACTAGTTTGACTATGCTTGCAATTGACAAACAACCATCCACACTATCACTGAGTGGATCTCGATCTCATACTGCCGCACACAACCAAGGAGAGCGCACCACTATACTATCAGCAAGTATTTTTTTTGACTATGCTTGCAATTGACAAGCATGAGCAAATGTTTGTGTTTACAGCCAATGGTGTGGTTTGTCTCGACACTTCCACTAAGTAAAGGTAAGAGTGATTATCATTTGAAAGGAAGACGCTTAATTGCAGCTTTATCACAAGACATGGAGAACCTCTTTTCCTCTTCCATGAACGTTAGCATGTAATACATTCGTGGGAATGGGACATTTGTTTCACAATCACATCAGACTGAAGACAACGCATTTTACCGTAAACTTGATCAACCCTTCCAGCCTTCTATCGAGAAGAAATGTGGCTTACATGGCAACCACCATGCGACTTTCCAATGCAATAATGTACCAAGCAAACACGTTTGGAATGATTTTAAACAGAAATAAATAAAGGCAGACACAGAAAACATAGCAGCTTTGGGTTTCATTGCACTCGAGGTCTGGCAAAAAATAGGATGAACCCTTAGATCAGTTTCATCATTGTTTCTCCCTTTCTGGGAATGCAAGGACATGTTACAACACGCCCAGGACGATGTTCAAGAGATGAAATACAGACCACATGATAATTCATTGCTTATGGGCTATAATTCCATGCAAGTGAATCTTGTTTGACCACCCATGTCTCCAATAAAACGATTAAGCACAGTTTGAGAGAAGGCAGCGTCATTGGACATTTGTTGGGAGTTGAGAAGAAAGAATCTGCATGAGATACTTGATTTTCATTTTCGATACTCTGGAACTTGTCATTGGGAACTCACTCACTGTGTTTGTTAAACACATAAACCCTGTCATAAATGATTTTTCAAAAAAAAAGACAAAAGGGTTCGAATCAAGGTTAAACTAGCAATGTGGTCACCATCATTGTGGAATTTACTAAAAAACATTAAAACATTCAAATGCTTGTTAAAATCCTCCATAACAAATTTTGACAGATATTTTGTGGAAATCTTGTCACAATGTGAATAGATTTTTTTTTCCATTATAGGTACAAACAATTATATAATCATATACTTTGAAATGTCAATGGCCATTTACGACAAAACCATTAGTTTTTCATTTGGTTTTGGGATGCTTACTTTGAATATATTTTTTTAAAACATGTCTTTGGAAATGCTAAAGCGAAATACTTGGGACTGGATCAACAGTGGACGGCACGGTGGTCGACTGGTTTCACATATCTCACAGTACAAAGGTGCATGGTTCGCTTCCGGATCCGGCCTTCCTGTGTGGCGTTTGCATGTCTTTGTGAGCGTGGATGGTTGTTTGTCTATGTGTGCCCTTAGACTGGATGCAACCATCTCAGGGTGTACTCCGCCTACTGCCCCAAGACAGCTGCAATAGGCTCCAGCACGCCCACGACCCTTGTGAGGATAAGCGGATTAGAAAAGGAAGGGGTGGATCAACCGTGTCTCTGTTCTTTGCTGCCACTTGGTTTTGCCTCAATTACTCCAAGAGAAGTTTCGTAAACAATTAATGAAAGGGACACTAATGAAAGGGGCACTTATCACGACCTATCACCAAACTATACATTAAACTATAAACCACATGCATTTTTCCAATCATGTCCAAGGTTGTTGAAAAATTAGGGCCACATCAGCTAATTTCTCATCTTAACTCTAGTCAACTTCTATATACCATGCAACATCGGTTTAGAGTCCACCACGCAACAGAAACCGCAACTGTTTATTTTATTGAAAAGATTAAGTCTAATAGACAGTGGGAATTGTAATTGTTGCATTTCTTTTAGATTTTAAAAAGTATTTGACACATTTAAATCACACCTCACTGACTCATCTCAGTGTTAAAATACTTAATACAACATGTACTTTCAAAGATCTTGTCACAGGTATCCCACAGGGTTCAATGCTGGGTCCAGTTCTTTTTTGTCTTTACATGAATGATCTACCACCTCTGCGTCAAGGCTGTGAAATCATTATCCATGCGGATGATACTACGATTTTTGTGAAGGCTAAGCACCATTCAGAGATTGCTGCACACATTAAGGTAAATGTTTCAAATTGGCTAAGTACATGCCATTTATAAATCAACTCCTCCAAAATTGTAGCTTTTTTTTTTTTTTTTTTTGGCCAAAACAAAGAAATCCAACATAAATCCGTCATTTTCACTTCATGACAAAAAACCCTAACTGTAAATGAACTGATTCTTGGACACCTTATTCTATACATTTAATCTCACTTTTAAACATAATGGCATGTCACTTTCAACATCGCTTATCCTGTACAGCGTGACAGGGGGGTTTTGGAGCCTATTGCAGCTGACTTTGGGCAGAAGGCAGATGACACCCTGACCTGTTCGCCTGCCAGTCACAGGGTACACCTAGTGACAAACAACCATCCACACTATCACTGAGCGGATCTCGATCTCATACTGCCGCACACAACCAAGGAGAGCGCACCACTATACTATCAGCAAGTTTTTTTTTTTTGTTAAATATTCCATAATTGATAAAGTGAGTACAATTTTCAAATGTATACGTTTTAGGTATCTGAGAAATCACATGTCGACAGAAGCTGCATAAATGTTTGTTTTCCCTTATATCTCACATTAATTACTGTCTACACACCTGGGCCCTTGCAAATTCTGCTTCTCTGAACCCAATATCTTTATACAAACAAATAGAGGCGGGCATCGTCAGCCTGGTGAGTCTGTCCGTCAGCTGCCATCAGTATTTCTGGCCACCCCAGTTTACCCGCGTTGTCGGCGACAGCCAAACGGCATTAAGAAGAGACTTACCAGTACTATGTCACATGCAGATACTGCACACCTGACATACAGCCAAATACAGAAAATATATTAAATAAAACAGCGTTGTACACCTTTCAGTCCCGCAGACCTCAACATGTGTGCCATATTGCAATTCCACAAAACATGATAGTTTAATCTCATACTGCTCATTTCAACATAATCTAAAGAAATTGTCAATTGACAACCAAATGTGTCAACATTAATGCCTATTGGGTTAGTAGTCATCCGTATTCTGCTGTTTTTAACGTTTATCTCTGGATTATGTGTGTATTTTGATTGCATTTTGCTTTTTGTTTAATAGCTGTTATTGTTGTTGCTTAAAATCAGCGATGTTCCTGAAGGTTGTACCTCCCGCCTACCGCCTGGTGACGGGCTCCAGCACGCCCGCAACCAAGAAGTCAAGATCACAATTTACCAATGAGCGCAAAGAAAAAACGTGGTGGTAATGCAACACAACGGTTGCCAGCCGTCACTAACCACCAACCAAAAAGAATGCCCAAGTCAAGATTACCGAATGACTTTATCTCGTTAAAATATGAAACTCACAATAATATTATGTGAGCCAAATTACATTAAAACGTGATGTTTCTCTTCTCTTCTCTTTTTGATGTGGCAACAATATCCTTTTCTAGGTTTTCATACAAAAATGATTGGAAATTATTTTACTAAACCGTTCGTGTAAGATATACTGCGTCGCGTTCCGACTGAAAAACAAATTTGGTTACGTTGTCGCCCTAGAAGTGGAACTCCGTAGTAAACCCAGATCGCTTTGGATGTCAATCTTGTGTTCACAGTTTGTTACTGTTTTTATAATACAAAAGTGTATCGTGTCTAATTTAATGCAACATTGTTTTTATTTTCAAATACAACACGTTTAACTTGTCTTCCATATGTTAATTTTCCATTGATTAATAATGATCTTTTTTTTCCACTTCCATAGACAGAAATATGAACCAAAATGAATTTGACTCAATTGATGTATTAATAATCCGTGTAATTGACAAGTAATAAATGAGTAAAATAGGACTCCATCTATATTGTTTGGTGTCACCAGGTAACACTTGCTTCACTTGCTACTGTGTACTGCTAAAATGAGTTGGAAATAAACCACGTTTTCCCAACTACTTCAAAACATTTAACTTATGTAAAAGTAATCTATGGCACTTACCAAATGGTTCTTTACATGCTCTCAAAGTGCTCATTTTTGAAGCCTCTCTAAAACTCCAGGTCAGAGTTTCAATACAGTTTAAAGATGTTGATGCCAGCCAGTGGCGGCACCTTAAGCAAAAGTCACCAGTTCAAAAAAGAACAAGCAGGTAGCGTCGATTTAATGCTGCGTTCAAGTGCTGCTCGAAAATTTTAAATGTATCTAGGTGGGAGGCAACGTCAGAAAAAAAAAACCTTCCCAAGGCAATTTTGGAAGTGGGACACATCTACTCCCCAAACAAATACATAGTAAAATAAGTGAATACTGTTTGAGTGTGAGGAGCTAATTTACTTGATCCAATCTGTTCTTATCTACTGTTTACCAAATATGCCTGTAAATGGTGAGCAAACACGCTCCTGTGTTGTTACTTTCTGTTTTACACTTTAATATACGACCCATGGAAAAAATGGAACCACCAGTCTCAGAGGATCTTCATTCAAATGATTGAAAAAAAAAAAGATCACACACATGACACAAAATTAAAACTCATTACAAATGTCCACTTTCTGGCTTTAAGAAACACTAACAGAAATCAAGAAAAAAAAGGGTGGTCGTCAGTAATAGTTACAAAAAAATAATGAATAATAACAATAAAACCAAAAGTATATACAGTGTCATTTGAGGGAAAGTTTATTTAAGTACACATGCAAGTGGTCTTCCTTTGATGATGGTGTATGTTTACACTTTACAGTAAATGATTGTATGAAATACACAATCAAATGAAGCAAGGTAAATACCATCATGCAATTACTGAGCATGCCTTTTTGTGCCATCAGCAATTATTCAACCCTAGTGTGTAACCCTCAAATGTAAACTGACGATGCTGTATTGTATTTACAAAAATCTTAATCCTGTACATCAAGAGACTGATGACAATAATCAATTGTTTAGTGGTTACGAAAACAAGACCTTTCTTCTTTTGATAACAGTTTAATGTAAATATGTTTTAATATAATGCAAGAAAAAACAATAGACATCATATTCCAGATGGATCTTTGCCTACTTTCCTACATATGACTTGACACTGAACTTCAGAAAGTGTCATTGGCAAATGTATTATTGTGCAGCTGGAGTCTCGTGTACTCCGACGAAGAACTTTCAGTGGACTGTACATACGGTATTTACCATAAACAATGCTGCATAATATTTTGACGAATTGCGAGACTGATAACGAATGAACAAATATAATGGAACTAGACAGCAGACTTAGAACACTATAGTGCCTTGTAGATGGTGCTGAAAAGAATGTTCTCGTCTGAAGCCATAGTTAACTCGCATGTACTCTTTCAAATTCTGGTGTCTGATAGGTTACAGTTGTTACAGTGCTTCACTGAAGACAGAAGCAGGTGAGGAAACTCACAGGTGAACAGCTTCAGGGAACTGAGGAATCCATGCATTCTTTGCGTGTATGTACACGTTGGTGTTGCTGCCTTTTTAATATATATTTTTTAATCTTCGCTGTACACGCTTTTTACACTGCTTTTATATCTCAAATGCAGCTTCCCTTCTTTGTTTTTTTCTTGATAAAATCTCTATACAACAAAAAAAATAGAGACAATAACTGAGGAGATATACAAGACCCCACTTGAGACCTTGATTTTCTCCCATGAAAGAGATCAAACAGAATGCACACATACCAATAATCAGGCCGATTTGAAACATTTTCCCTCCTTCTAATCAACGTCAGCAATGCCTGATTATGGGATGCCTCTAAAAGATCATCTTCACCCTGACCAAATATTCTTGGGTGTAAAGATGTGTGAAGAGTGATTTCCACTCCCTGATATGCTGATATGAAATTGGTCTGGGCAAGTCATAGAATTGACTAGTACCGTATTTACTCTGTACAATCCAGATATGCATCATGGCATTAAAGAAAACACATGGAATTGAAAATGCTCATATTGGATTCAGGACTCTTTGAGATGTGGATAAAAATCTAGCTTTAGTGTTTACGTTATCTGAGCTGAAAAATTCACACCAGGAATTTGATACATTAACATTTCCAAGAGCGGATCTGCTCCTATGCCTTTCTGAGACTCTTTCAGGCACTTGTTATCTCTGTTGCAACCTGCTGATGAGACTGACAGCAGCCACTTCCCTCTGAGAACAGAAGATCTTGTTTGAAGACTTGCAATAGCGAAATACTGTTGAACATATACCCTACATACCCTAGTGAGGATAAAGCGGTTCGGAAAAGGAATGAATGAATGAATGTTGAAAAGGACTGTAAATACCAATTCTAATTGAACCAGGAAATGTACTCATCCGTTCATGGATCAAACATATTTTGCGGGAATGCGACAATACGTGCGTTTAAATCTGACTCCACTTTTGTGTTCTCATGTCACGCCAGGTCTGATCAAGCTCATCTCAGAAAAATGCAATCTGCCTGGTTAGAAATTTTTTTTCCACATCAATTTTTAGATATGATACAGTTGGATCCCTTCTATCACCTTGTTTTTTATTTGATGATTTGCATGCAAGCAGGACAACTCATCTTTCACCGCCGAAAAAGTGTTGAAAGATAGCCTGCTTTTTTTTTTTTTTTTTTTTTTTATGGATACAGATCGTGTAATTTTGAAATACATGAGGTCATGCAAACAAAATTACTTCCCATTTGTACGATGCCATAAGATTTTTACACTTGCCTAAAGTGGTTTTGACAGATATTTTGGGGTGGGGCAAATCAATTTTCATGACTTCACTTACTTGAGAGGGTCTCTCGTTTTTACACAAAAGTATAATATACTCTAAAGGTGTGTGGTAGAGATGTGTATTCAACATAAGGTATGAATTTGCTCAAATGTAGAGATTTCGACCCTACCGTCCAATCACGGTATTTGATTACAGTATGTCTTCCGTGTGCACTGCTCAGTGTAATAGAGATGGCCAAATTGCCCGCATCACATCACTGATTTCCCCTGCTCTTACTGGGGAATGCTTGTTGCACACTATTTCGAAGCACATGAGAGCTGCAGCTGGTGCTCCTTCAGGAGTTGGACTGGGCTCATTTTTCAAATCTGGGAGATTTTTTGGGGTGGGGAGAAATGTTTTTTTTTTCAATTACCTTGTGCCTTCACCATTTTTATTGCATTCTGAAAAGCCAAACAACAAATTTGAGCAAAGCTCAAAGCTCCCGAATGGGAGTAGTAAACTGACAGATTCACTCCGCCCCACTCAGTCCTGACACACATACACACACGGGGTACAATTGCAGAACAAACGCGGAAACAGGAACTCAACTGGAAAAAAATGGCTACTTACTTGTGAATTTTAAATATAAAATGGTTTTAAGCTTAAATAAATGAATGAATCCATAAATAAATAAATAGCTGTGGGGGGCTTTCAGATTTCTGACAGAATTATAGCACCCCCTCACCCCAGTGTAGCATTGTGCATGTCAAATACAGTGCCAACATTTTTGAAAATTCTGAATTTTCCAAGATGACAGTTTTGTTGTACACATTTCAGTTGTTACCCTTTTCAGCTCAGATCGCTTGGCCGTGTCCTTTTCTTAAAAACGGATCACAGGCCAATCTATTGTTTGAAACAAGGAGTAATTTTTGGCTGCATTTTTTAAGATTTAAAATGTCAGAACTTCCTTAATTCTTCACATATTGACGAATGAAATTTTCTTCCTTTTTCAAGCTCTTTTCAATGACATTGGCTTTGCTGAAAAAAATTAATGTTTTTGTTTTTTTTTGTGAATTTTGACCGTCATCTGCTTGTGAGAGAACTGCTAGTTTTGCAGAAAGTACTGAAACACTAAACAGCGCATTCAGATGTTTAGCGGTCCAATAAAAGAAATTTCACTAAAAGCCCAACTATCTCTATTTTTTGAGTAGTGTGTACACGAGGGCCATCTTAAAAAAATAAACAGGTCTAACTTTAGCATAGACAAATATCACCATAACAAAAATTAAGGCATTTATATAGTTCTTAAATTATTTCACAACAAAAATAATGTTTTTACGATATGACCTTAAAATATTCTAAAATGACGAGTGTGTGGGTGGGGGCGGGGGGTCTTGGTTAACAGGTATGGAACGAGCTATTACGTCATTGTGTTATTACGATTGGTCTGGGAGAGAACGTTCCTCAAATCACCTTTACTCATTCGTCTTTTTCCTCTACTGCTTTATGAACAAACTCCTTAGTGAAACTAAAACTGGGTCGGGTTAGGGTCGTAAATCCCGCCTGGATTGATTCGTAATGGATGTTGAACGTGGAAAGGGCTTCCCCTACATAACCTGCAATTCCGACATATCCGTTTAACGTGAACGCCACAAATGAAACGTCATTACGCCAAATGACGTTGTGGCGTTTGTCCAATCAGGAGGAGATCCCCAAGCTCCGGAAAGAAGCAGATGATATGGCAGCTTCGAAAGCGACCAGGTGGAACTTGCTTTGTTAACACGACTAAAGAATTGATTATGAATAGAATTTGACTGCGAGAGGGCGACGAGGCAGCTGCTCGAAATGATTTACTTAATCCTAATTTCTGCATTCTCCGGAGCAGTCGTCACGTTGATGCTACAGTTCTTGTTGATCTACCGGAGGAGCCCAGAGCCTATTCTGAGGACCGAGCAGTACGCTAAAGTAGTACCTGATAACGCATTGAAGGATTACTTTAATTCCCAGCATGTCGATCCAGGCCAGCTGCAGCAGCAGGACGGTACAGCCTCTGCTGGTTACAAGCCGCAAGAGGCCGCCTCAGCGAGACAGCAAGAAGCGTCTGTGACCGGTAGCAGCCCCAAACAACAAGCGTCGCCGCCTGCACACAGCGAGTCGGTTGATGCGGACAAGCCAGAAACCTGTCATTTCCTCAATGCTATCTTTTTGTTCCTGTTCAGGGAGCTGCGAGACAGTCCTCTTGTCAGACACTGGCTCACCAAAAAGATCAAGGTAGAGTTTGAGGAGCTGCTGCAAACCAAGACAGCAGGTCGGCTGCTGGAGGGTCTTAGCCTGCGAGATATTTCTTTAGGTAATTCTCTTCCGGTCTTCAAGACGGCCAAACTTATGAAGCCGGTGAATTTGAACGAGGACGGCATGCCGGAGGAACTCAACTTTGAGGTGGACATTGAGTACAACGGCGGCTTCCATCTCGCCATTGACGTGGAGTTGGTGTTTTGGAAGTCTGCTTACTTATTCGTTAAAATGAGGCGCGTAGTTGGCAAACTGAGGCTGCAGTTCACCCGGGTGCCCTTCACCCACTGGTCCTTCTCCTTCCTCGAGGACCCACTCGTGGACTTTGAGGTCAAGTCTCAGTTTGAAGGCAGGCCCCTTCCTCAGCTCACTTCCATCATCGTCAACCAACTCAAACGGGTCATCAAAAAGAAGCACACACTTCCCAACTACAAAATCAGGTAGGTAGTAAGCATTGTCTGTGATATGATTTAGTTACCCTACATTTGCATCTGATACACTTGTAATAAGATAGCATGCATTTTGTTGCTCTGATGTATTACATTATAGGAAGGCTTCATTAATTTTACATGTGTGGCTTGATTGGTAGTAATGAATTAGTTTCGCTTGGAAAAACGTGTACAAGCTGAAAAATACCCCTCTATATTGCTATATTTGACTTTTGTGGAAACATTCAACACATCCATCGTCGGTTCAACAAAAAGTAACTTATGCTAACTGAATGAAAAGTCGACTAAAAACAGCAAACAAAGTGCACGGCATGTTATTCCACAATTATTACCAAAAGTGTACTAAGGCAATTTTTGTCAAGGCCCTGGTGTGCACAAAAATGGGCATGCACGTGTGCTGTGAACATTTTCCCAGACAAGAAGTACATTTCAGTTAGCAATGGGACACACCACACAGGTGATATTAAAAACCAAAGCTGTGCTGAATATTTTCAATGAGCAAGACCTTAACTGCCCCGAGGGAGGATCTGTACATCCTCTAAGACAGAGTTCTCAAACTCAAGTCCCGGGGATCAGATCCGGGCTGCCCTGACATTTTTGCAGCCCGTGAAAGCAAATCGTGTGTGTCAACTTCCAAGATCCTTGCCAAAATCTGTACCCAGATGTGTAATAAATAATGTTGAGATTTTGCAATAATTTTGTTACCCTGTTTTCACTCACTCGAACAGTCGCTGAACAAACGATTATAGTTCACATGACCGATTTCAAAACTAGTAATGAATAAAAAAATTTCCATACAAGTAAGAATTTGATTTGACAATTCAATATTTATTTGGTTTCACTGTCATCACGGCCCTTTGAGGCAAGACGTAACTCCAGAGTGGCCCGTCGCGAAAATGAGACCTTTTCCGGCGCAGGCTTCTGGGTTGTTATGTCCATAATGAAGAGTCTGCGCACCAAAATTAAACTGCTGAGACATGCAAAGCAACACTCTGTTCATCATGCGCGCAAGGTAGGAGGACATACTCTATTAATTCCAGCATTGTCCATGCGTGTGCAGCTGCAAACAAGCGCCATGTCTGCTGCACTTCCTGATCCATTTGTTCCCCAGAGTGTATTTTGTATGCTCAGCTTTCACATCAAAAGTGGCATCTCACTTGGTAGAATTATTTCACAGTATTTTCTGGAAACGATATGGCTTCATTCTTTTAGGATTAACACTAGGATAGATGCATTCCGTTCGGCGTAGCTTTGTGTCTATATCATTGTCCAGTCTCGGCCAGCATTGACAAACATGTAACAGCTATTTTATTTTCAAAGTCTTTTTTAAAGTAATTCTATGTACATGAAAAATATTGGCCGTCACATTAATTACAGACAAAAATTTTGTATTGCTACCCATGACATACTGTACATATATGGAGTATCCCTTTAATATTAATTCAAACAATAAATAACCCTGAATATCTACACGGTGGGAACGATTTTGTAAAATGGTGTAATTGCGATTTTTTTTTTTTTTTTACCCTTCAATAATATGATTGCGATTTAATTTGTGATTATTTTTTCAAGGTCCTCTTCCAATGTTGCCAAGATTAGTTGACCATTGACAACGGCATCAAAGATCAAAATCATCGACAATTAATTTAACAGTCGAAGAGTTTCTCGTGTAACTATTTAATTCCCGCTGGCTCTATTCCTTATCTGTGGCACATGTGCAGTCGTGGTCAAATGGGCCATCCTTGATGTAAACAGAAGCATTGTGGGTAATGTGTGTCAGGGCTAACCTGTGTTAGCACGAGATTCCGAAGGTTTGATAAGATAAGAAAACTTTTATTAGTCTCACAATGGAGAAATTCCCAATTCAGAGCAGCAAAGTTATGAAAGGAAGAAGTAGAAGAACATTGAGCATGGGCGCATTTTACCCAAAATACTGAATTGGTTCCAAACCTCCCTTTCATGGGAGCATGGCAGTGATAAATAAGCATCTAAATAGGAAGCACGTAACTGATGGCCGCTGATTACATTTTTGACAAAGGGAATAGTTGTGTCTGGAAGCTAGCATTAGCACACACAGATTACTGTACTGTGTGTATTTGTCAAGTCAAGTACAAGTTTATTGTCAAATGTGTGCTATGTGTAACATACAGCACAGATGAAATTTCTTCCCTTTCAACCAGACAACAAGAGGAGCCGCTGCGGGTGCCCGTGCCGCCAAAAAAAGAACAGTGAACATAAAATGACAATTGATGTAACACAATGTCATTTTTTGTACGCAAACATATCATAGCATCTATTATAGATTACAGGGGCACTCGTGAACCCATGTTTATTGACAACCAAAATACAAGTTTTTGTATGCCCGTGGTTAACATTGAACATGAATAGCAAAGCACACCTGCTACCTCATGGTGTCTTTCCATTGCCACCGTAGCGACCATGCACAGTGTTGCATTTATGAACTTGGCAGCACTCAAAGAAACTGAACATGACATATTTTGCCACAACCCCCCCCCCCCCACACACACACACACACATAACAACAAAACACATAAATTAGTTTGTTACAATATATTCATTTATAGCGCTAAAAAAATTATGTTCTACTTGAAAGATTTGTTTCCCCTATTTCAGGTGCATAGTACATTTTGATTGTGTACTTTACTACTTTTAAATTATGCTTTCTATTGATGGAAAACAAAACATTTTGGATTAAGGTTAAATCAAAAACAAAATTTAAAGCACAGTGAATTTCCTAATTTCCTCATCTGATGTCATTACCTCCTACATAAAAAATAGGGTAGCAGCCTAAGAAGAGTGTACTGGGTAATATGTTTACAAGTATTAATTTTTGTTTTTACAGTTTTGTTAAGTGTGTCCCCAACAGTAAAACAATGTAAACATACCACAACGAATACGTAAGAATGATCAAATCATGTTCACCCACTTGAGCTGTCACAATGGGTAGAAATACCTGAACCTTTCGCCCCTAAACCTGACAAACGTAATTGGTTCTGTGAGCTCGCTTGTAGCCTGAAACATTCATAAATCCAGCCCCACAACTAAGTTATACTTACTTGTACCCCTCTTTATTTAACCAGTGTATGTTTAAAAATAAATATGATCAAATATGGAAAAAGAAAGTGAAAGTACACTATTATAAAGAAATACAACACTTCTAAAAAGGAATTACAATTTTTTTTTTTGCTCATTAATTTTAACTGAGGGGGAAAAGGGGAGCAGGACTCTGGCCCCTCCATTGAAAAAGAATCATCTTCCATAATTCCATGAAGAAATTCTGATTAGTGTTTTTTTTTTTTTTTTGGAATTCTTTGTTTGATTTCACATCGTCATTTAACATATTAACTCCTTACACATTTCTTTTGATTATTTTTATAATTTTTTTGGATTGCCTCATACATGCTGTCACGAGCGAGCGCTGACTCATTTGTTCGTCTAAGAAAAAAAGAGCAAAACAACAACAACAAAAAAGCTGGAATACTGCCTACCTTGCCTTGCATAATTCACAGAGCCTGTTTACACAACAAAAGCACCACATCACAAATCTTTCCGCACATCTATGACAAGCGCTTCATTACGCTCCTTTTAGCAGTTTCCCTTTTCTTATGAGCCATTCCGATTACTGATTTCCGCATTCATTCATAAAATGCGACTGCTTATGGCATCTGTGATTGAGTGAATGCAGACTCATCATCACGGGTGGGACACAGGGAGCCATGCCCGCCCAACAAGATGCTGGTGCCCCCCCAATTTGAGGTGTGAATCTCTAAAAATAAACTATTATTATTATTAGTAGTAATAGCAGCAGTAGCAGTATTTGATCATCCATCCTTTTTCTAATCCATTGATCCTCATGATGGTCGAGGACGTGGTGGAGCCTATCCCAGCTTCTTCGGCCAGTCGGTGTATTTGATCATATTAGATCGATCAATCTCTCTCTCTCTCTCTCTCTCTCTCTCTCTCTCTCTCTCTCTCTCTCTCTCTCTCTCTCTCTCAAAATATTTTCTAGTTATTTTGGCCTTTGGGCAGTAAAAGAAATCTTATGTAACGTTTGACATTTTAGCCACGATGGAGGATGGAAGCCGAAGGATTTGATTATCTATTGTAACATGAGGCACTATTTCACACCGGAAAAAACATCTCACCGCACACCACTTAGCAAAACGATTTGCAAAAAGTGGATACACAGGTTAATTATGTACCATCTGTCATCGCACCCGATGCGCTCTCAAGTCACGCTAGTGTGCCACGGCTCACTGACTGGGAATCACTGACACGAATGACCAGATTGAAAATTGATTGTAAATAAGTAAAATCGTAGAGTGATTTCATCCCACAATTCTTTTTCTTTAAATGTCAGCCTTTATAGATTGATAAAAAGCCCACATTGTTCGATATTTGTAGTTATTAACATTTAAGCGTTGGGGTCTGCTATCCAATCCACTATATTGCTCAGCCCCATGGGTACAAAAATCCAATCGTTTTTTTTTTTCCGAAATGAATATACAGTACACAAACACCATTACCAATTTGTCTTTTTTTCCAAGACTTGATGGTGTAACTTCAGAGAATTGCGTTTATTGATCCATTTTTTTAAGAACAGTCTGAACTCTTTGTATGCGTGCAGTTTTATCATATGTCATTTGGCCTCTGCACAATTCCAGTTGAGGATATCATGTGGCTTTTCGTTTTCCCCAATGGATTTTTCTTTTCCTTGCTGGCATGAAGCAACTTATTCAGTACCCAGGCAGCATTTGCTATTTACACAGTCTCCCATTGTAGCCCTGGATTGTCCCTCGAGGATACAGCTCTGTTGGGTACCAAAAGTTCTCTGCTCATTTTTGTCATCAGATCTCTTAAACGTTGGTGATTTTATTTGTGATAATTTTTTTCATACCTTTTTTTATTTTTATTCAGTGGTTGATGAACTGTGCCAATTTAACACTAACTCCATTGTGTGCCCCGAATGACACCAACTTGTCATTATCTGCACCTTTTGCCAATTACAAGGACACATTTTGATGGCAGCTCGTCATAGTAGATTGTATTTGCGTCTAAGTTGTTCCAGATTCTAAGGCGATGATGAGCTTTGGGCTCATTTGCCTGCTCGTTGCATTTCGTAATCAGCCAGAAATCTCCAACAGCATAGAAAATAAATATTAACCTCAAAGCTAACCTGATCAACAACTTCAATATCATAGTTAATTGACCTCTCTGAATCATTTTTGAATAATTGCTTTCATGAGCAGAGCCTTAATATTCGAGTATTCTAGTCTTGGAGGTCATGACTCATGTCAGTGCACTGTATCGAGAAAGCTAGACATCAAACTGCTCAACCTGTGTGTGTGTGCGTGTGTGTGTGTGTGTGTGTGTGTGTGTGTGTGTGTGTGTGTGTGTGTGTGTGTGTGTTTTGAGTGAGTGAGTGCGTGTGTGATTCTTAATTACGTGTCAAATTACCTTGTACTGCCCAAATCGTCAAAAACCCCCAAAACAGCATGTTTGTTCAAACATTGTGAAGAAAATACGACAGTTACCAAAATACGACAGACACCAACATGTGAGGTTTCTCCCCCCCGACGCCAGCGTTATGTAAATTTTGAGCCACATATCCAGCTGGCTGTGGCGATGGTGCGAGCCTGTGAATCACCTACAATCATGCAGAGTGAGTGTGGGATGATGATGTAATGATGAGCAGCCTGAGTGAATCAAAATTGGACCTCGGGATTTTCTGTGTTGTCGCAGATGGTAGTCGCATGGAGGGGAGGGCTTGGCACTGCTGCCTACATGAGGCACCGGTAATCCACGCATTACAGCTCCTCTTAGGACTGATAACTCCAGTTGTGGGAAATTTTATTTTCGAATCAAAATGCATGCTGGTTTTGTGAGGATTTTTAACAACAGCAAGTTTTCAGGGACAACAAACAGGGTAGAACAGGGTTCCTTCATTAGCTCTCACTGAGGGCCAGATTATGTGAGTGTTGCCAAATTGCGGGCCCAGTTTTTTGTTTGTTTTTGTTTTTTTGACCGATAAATATTGTTTTATGTGCAAATGTTATTATTGCTGTTATTATTAGAAGTAATTGTTTGTTGCAACAGCAGCGATGGTGGAAGTTGAAGATCTTTTTCCCCCAGTCTTTTTTTTTTTTTTTTTTGTGAACAGAAAATCTCTTAGCAAGCTGACAGTTTTGGCTGTCACTTCAGCCTTCGTCGGAGCTGTCACTGCTTCCTTGTGATGTGTTTTTAAACAGCTCCGACAAAGATTGACGTGACAGCCGAAACTCAGCTCGGTAAGAGATTTTCTCTTCAGCAAAAAAAGACCATTGTCTGAAAAAAACCAAACCTTAAACCTATTTTAACTAAGAAGAAGACAAGATGAACGTCATAGTGCTAGCAGCTATAGTAATAATCATCAGTTTGACGTAGAATTTTTTTTTTTTTTTTTTGCAAAATGGTAATATTCTCAGTCATTTCAAGCCCGTTTACAACCAGTGGCACACCCGCGGCAAAATCACAACAGCCGTGTGTCAGCTCAAGTGTCTTATTAAAGCACAGATGACTGATGAAAAGGGAGTAAAACTGCTGCATTGGGTCTGAATATTAATCAATCCATCCGTTCCTCATCCAAACCGCTTATCCTCACGAAGGACACGGGTTTGCTGGAGCCAGCTGACTCCAGGCAGAAGGCAAGGTACACTCTGAACTGGTTGCCAGCCAATCGCAGGGTACACAAAGACAAACAAGCAGTCACACTCACAGTACGCCGAAGGACAATTTAGAGCAGGAGTGCCCAACCAGTCGATCGCGGTTGACTGGGAGTCCGTGGACTTGTCCCAAATCGACCACAAGGGCTGTAAAGGGAAAATTGAGAAAAAAAAAAGAGTTATCTCCAAACCAATAAATGTGCTGAATTCTGATGAAGTATTGCTGCATTCGAGAAAGGTGGGAATTCAGATTTATCCCACTGGGATTGTCCCAGTTGTGACCTCAAAGAGTTGGAGGTGAATGTAAACAACAAAGATTGCTGATTCCAATAAATTGTTTGTTGTTCTGGTTTATCACAATACATTTTGACCTCCAGCAAACTTTCTTCACCAATTCCTTAATTTATATAAATAAAATAATATCTTCAAAGCATTTAATTCATTTCACCAATTAATTTTATGCTGGGAGATAACGGCATATCTTCACAGTCAGTGCAAATCACGTGTATGTGAAGTCATTTCACATAACAAAAATACAGTAAAAAGCCGAACCTATAAAACCAAAACATTTATGTATAATAAATCTAGTATTCTTTCTTTTAATGCATATGCTTGTTTGTACTGGTGATGACGGTGCAATTTCTATTTCAGGCAGTGTTTAATGTGATGCAATTGAAAATTTGGATGCACCTCACTTACATCACTTTTGTGTTGGTGCACCATAGGAAAAAAAGTTAGTTTAGTCCTGCTCTTGCTGAGAGGTTTCCTTATTAACCAGAACACTGCACTGAATCAGAAAGTTTTCCGCCAAGAAACTCACCCAAGTACATTTCTTACAGTAGTCCTAGTTGTCACTTGGACAAACACAGTTGTCACTCCCTACAAATTCGACCAATTAAAGACACACCTTTCCAAGGTACAACTTTGCTTGGTAAATTTGTTAACATTTAAGAATGACTTCAAGAGGATTGCTCACTTTTTGTAGAAATTATACTATATAGGTGGATTTTTTCCCCACAGGCCTGTGTTGTGACCATGCCACTCGAAAATGATTGACTGCTATGTAAGTATTATATTTTTGTTTTCTGTTTCTCTTCAGATACAAGCCTTTCTTCCCATTCCAAGTACAGTCACCTCAAGGATCGACCTCTGATTTAGAATTGTCAGTCCAGGACAGCAGACTTGTGGAAGGCCGTCTCAAAGTTACGCTGATTGAATGTAGCAGGTCAGTCATAATGTTCATTTCGTTATGCTGTTCTGTTGTGCTGGTAGACCTGTCCATCTGACGTTAATCAAGTATGAACAGACGTGCAGTGCCTTTAAAAAGTATTCGTACTCCTTGAACTTTTTCACATTTTGCCACCTTACGACCACAAACTTCCATGTTTTTTTATTTATAGAGGTTTTGTGTGATCAAAGAACACAATGTAGCACATTGTGAAGTGCAACGTAAATTTTATTTTAAAAATTGTAGGCTAATCAAAAACTTAATGTGATGTGCAGTTATATTTAGTCCCCCTGTGTCCATAGTTTGGACTCCAGTTGGCATCCAGAGGCGTTCCTAAACTAGCCGGAAGACATAGTATCTTGCGATATTTAGCTACTGCAGCGTCTCACCTCGACCTGCCGACTGCACAGCTGCGGGTGACACAAGCAGCCCAATTAAGCTTTTTGGGGCAGTCTCCGCCGTTCAGTTATCGGAAAAACTTAAAAATCTATGATTGTCAGTTTTGTTATTCTTTGTTTTGCTGAGGCTCAAAATGCAAATTGCTATTTTTTGTAGTTTGAAGGCGCACCCACTGCCCAGCATGCCTTGAGGGGCTTTTTTTGGTGTGTATCAATAGTTCTTAATAATTGGAGGTTTGTTGTTGTTTGCTTATTCTTTCCTAAAATAACTGTATTCATTATTTACATTTACCCACCACCTTATTTATTTTCATTGACTGTTAATTTAAAGTTTGGACTATCTTTTTGTAATGTAGGAGGACTATTGTATTTCATTCTCTTCCCTGTAATGTTGTTCCCTATGTGTATCCTTTTTAAAGAGTGCAATAGGCGTACTCTTAGCCATTCGACCAATAAAGGTACAAATGTAACCCTTTTATTATTACATTTATAACATTACATTTCACTGAACAATTTTCAAATATCGTTTGGGACTTCATAGTCAGCTGAGGAACCAAATAACAAGCTAAAATGCATATAAAGCACCAAATTCCACCATTATGGACAATGACGTATTCCTCACTCGACCCCTTGTACAGAAAATCCAGTGGTATCTTCAGTAAACGGTGAGCTACAGATGTGAAGAGGATGCATCTTGCTACCACGACAACTGTACAGGGCCCTCGCCTTTTAGCCTGCAGTTTTGGATGAGGCAAGTCGTTGAACGGATGTTAAGTGAGGAGGGCCCACCGGGAGTTGTCGACCCTGGATGATTGTTTTCACCGGCACTATAACGTAAAATAAATTAGATAAAACAAATACTCAACTCAACTGTATTTATAGAGCACTTTCAAACAGCCATCGCTGCATACAAAGTGCTGTACATGGAAGTAATAATAATAATAATAATAATAATAATACCTTTCCCAATAATAAAACAATATTAATAATAATAATAATAATAAAACAAATGTATCTTGACCAGAAATCTGTAGTCTTGTTTGAGTGACGTGGCTGCACTGTATGGCATCTTGTTTGTTGAAAGTTCTCCTAAGCCGCACACACCCTTAGAGACAAATAAGTGGTGTTGCCAAGTCTCATACACTTGCCTGACTGAACGTGTGAACCTTGTTTTAGTGTGGTGGTTAGAGTACAGAATGATCAGATCAATAATTCATGTTCTGTCCATTACAATCAAATTGCCTTCATCTCGTAAATCACTGATGCAAAAATCTGCATACATCTTGGTTGAAACTGAGTCAGTGAAATGTAGACTGACGTTACAGTATTTGAAACTTCATCAAATGACAGTAACTCTTCTTTCTTGGCATATCCAAAAAAACACAAACGTAATTTTAAATCATTTGAAAGCGTTGTGGGCAGCTTGGTGGAGTAGTGGTTCTTATGTTCTCCCCGTGGTCTCCTTAAAGGTGAATGTTAGGTTAATTGAGAACTCTAAATTGACCATGTGAGCGTGACTGTGATTTTGCACGCTTTGTCTATATGTGCCCTGTGATCAGCTGGCCAATAGTGTACCAGCGAACAATTGGGTGTTGTTTCAAAGGCAGCGAATGTTGCAATCGCCTGTAGTTTTCCTGTTGCAAGGGGATTTGGAACATATTTCCTTGTGACAAGGAAATTCACTAAAACTGTTGGTGAACGTCTGGTGAATGTTCGGCGAACGTTTTGCTAACATTTGCGACCTTGAACGACCTCTGACAAACACTGACTTGAACGTGCATTTTTCTACACGCAAGCAGTCGCAATTGTCCGCCCCTCAGTGGGTTGGAGCTTTACTGTGATCATGTTTCCTGTAAACCCGAGTGGGAGTAAATTTTAAATACACTTTTGATACGCTCTATGGAGACAATATAAGGAATATTTTTAATAACAATTTGGATTTAGTATTGACAGATTCATTGCCAATAGTCTAGGTAGCAACAAGGGGTCAAGACATTTGGTAAAGGGTGGCAGATGCCACCCTTTGCCACCCTGTAAAACCGCCAATGGTTTGGCTCCCAATAAATTTCGGTAACCATAACCCGTTGAATTCTTTACTGATTTTGACATGGTTTGGTTTGTGACAAACATTAGACAGGCAGTTATTATACCAGATGTGGGTAATTTTGTAATCTGGGCTTTCCTAACATATTACATATACTGTAAAAGGTACTGTATTCCCAAAAGGTTTTTACCAAAGAAAAATCTGCCAAAAAAACAATGAACTTGACCTCATATTAAATACCCTTTTTCTTTTGTTTTTGTTTTTTTTTCTTGCTACCACATTGTTGAACAATATGGAAATTGTTGAAGCAAAATTCAGAACTTTGAAAACAAGTATTTCAGTTAAGGTCTTTTTTTTTTTTTTTTTTTAATCTCCTGTTTTGGATTCAAATTTTTACATCCAACTCCAGTGGAGTCAGTGCCTCACCAGTCATGAACCTCACCGCATCTCACTGCTATTAACCTAATTCTTGCCCTTATGTGTCAAAAGCATTTGTGAAAAGAGAATTGAGTTAAAATAAATAAATACAATCTTGTGATGAGAAATGGTAGGACGCTGGCACACTCTTCAGTCTACACTACGCATAGTGGGTAGGAGGTGTGTACTTTTGCAAGTTCAATACTGTGTAGGCTTCTGAAGAGGATGAATATGGCGCAGCTAAATGTGTCTCCAGAATGCTTTCATATATAAAGGTCTGGTGTGTTGATACGCTGATATAATGAAGCAGAAATAAAATTACACAAAGAAAGTGAAATAAAAAAGAATTTGATAGGGTACAGTACAATACAATACATTTGTATTGATATAGTGCTTTCACAACAGCTGCACGTTACAGAACATTAAACATAAAATTATAAAAATAATACAACAGAACACATACCACAATGGTACGTCGTCTACTTTGTACAGATTAGTAGGGTCACACCGGGAAGAATGATGAAATTATTCTTATTTACATACTATATTTACAATTTTAGACCTAAAGAATTAGGTCTAAAATTGTAAATATAGTATACAAAAAACAAAAAAAACAACCCATGTTACTGGGGGAAAAAATACAGGAGTGTTGAATGTTGGTTTGGAGAGAACAGGCCTCACAATTTAGGAAACTGCCGCCCCCTACTGTGCTCAGGATGCAAGTGCAAAAACTATGGAACGTGTCATTGCTGACCTGATAAACTGTATTTTGCATGTAAATGGGAGTTGCACGATGATGATGAGAATCAGTTTGCAGGACATTTAAGGCAAATTAAAAATTAGGTTTGGAAAACCTCACATGGCCTTTGGACTGTACGGAAGAAGACTGGAGCCCAAAAAAATCCTGAACCCTCAAATTGCAAAACTATGAGGCAGATGTGCTAACCACGAGGCTTATCATACTGCAGTAAATCCACTCCATCACCCTACCATCAGAAGTTTAATTCACCAGAGTTTTTTTATAAGCTAAGTTCAATTTTACTGGCCACGCCTAGTTCATTTTTTTTTTTGCTGCTTAAATTTTGCCCGCAGGAAAAGAGAAGTGGGCTACAATGATTTAAAAAAGAAGTGTGTCATTCCACAATCCAAAGAAAGTGAAGGTAAAAGTTACAAAGATTTGGGACTCAAGTGAACCATGGTCCATTATCCACAGATGGCAAAAAGTGGAAACAGTGGTGAACCTTCCTGGGAGTGGTTGGCCAACCAAAATTGGAGTGGTTGGCCAACCAAAATTGACCAATCAACCAAAAAAAAAGTGAAATGACAATGTATCCAGGAGGTCACAAAAGAGCCCAGAATGACACCTCAAGTACCGCAGGCCTCTCTGGCCTCATTAAAGGTCAGCATATATCCTCCTGACTACCAGGAAAAAAAATGTTGTCCAATCACATTTATTTTGACATTCCCCAATCTATGTGAAGTAATTGGACTCCTCCAAAAAAATTTTTGAAATCCCAGTACATTTTTTAAACAGGCTCAAATACACTTAAAACAACTCAAACAACACTTTAACGTGTTCATAAGAGTCTTATAATTAAAATGCCAACAGCATTTCAAGACAAAATGTGGTCGATAAAAAGTATTACTTTTCCTCTTCCCATAAAAAGTGCTTGCACTGAGGGAAGCTATTTTCTTACTTTTTCTAACCCCTACAAATTTGGTATCATTGAAAAGCACTGAATGTCCTCTTTAGAGTAACAAAAGGAGTTAATGCAATTGGAGGCACTGGGTGGGAGATATTTAGGTTCACAAATGTCCTCTACAGAGGACAAATTTGAACTACTGGTAGTCAGGAGGATATGACACTTGGCAAAAATGGCAACCGCGGGAGAAATCTGATGGGGAAAACCCCTGCTACCAATAAGGGCATAGGCTTGGCTCACATTTGCCAAGCGACAACTTGATGATCCCAAGACTTTCACAGAAATATTATGTTCACTGATGTGACAAAAGATTTTGGAAAGTGTGGTTCTGTAACATCTGCTGGAAAAAAATGACATCAAAACAACACTATGCAAATAGGCAAACATGGTGGTGGCAGTGTGTGTCTGGGGCTGCTTGTTTCTTAAAGGCCTGGACTTGGTGTAATTAATGGAAATGAATACGGCTGTCGACCAGAAAATCCAACAGGCAAATGTACAGCCATCATTTTCAGATCAAACGCGATTGAATAATGCAGTCGGACAATCACCTGAAAGATACCAGCAAGTACACCACATTGAGATAATGTTGTATGACTTTGAATAGGTAGTCCATGCCAGTCCATATGTCTGAGTTAAAACTATTCTGTTAAGACGCGAAAAACTCATCACCAGTTATCACAAATGCTTGATATCAGTTATTGCTGCCTTTCCTTGGCTCGTCTTTGTGATGTGCAGTATCCAATTTGCTTGATGGTTGGAAACGAGTGTGGCAACTGTGCATAAAAAAAACAATTGAAATCGAAAAGGTGGGCATATACTTTTTCACAGCACTGGATATCTTGTCTGAGGCATCCTGTTTTCCCCTTCCCGCAGACTCTTCATCCTGGGCTCATATGAGAGAGAAACCTATGTTCACTGCACTCTGGAGCTGAGCAGCCACCAGTGGAAGGAGAAAACCCGGAGCTCGATCAAACGAGTGAGTAACATCTCACCATTATTTTCTCCTACTTTTTGTTGTTACTCCGAGGGGGAAAAAAAAAAAACGACATACAGTGACTTGCAAAAAGTATTGGACCCCTCTTGAGCGTTTTAACCTTTTGCCACAGTCAGTGATGAAAGTCCTCCGGATTTTCCCGGAATTCCGGATTTTCAAATTTTCATGAAAATTCCTCTGGAAAATTGAGGAAAAATTGCCTACAATTAATCCTTTCATGAGCGTAGCCATGTTGAGGCACTAACACCAGTAACAGTAACACCCCTCCCCTCGCATTCTCATGGCCTCGCCATATCTCGGAGATTTCAAAATTTCGATGAGACCGGAAGCCACAAAGTGCACGTGTGCACACAAAAAGCAGGTTAATCATTGGATGTCGAGTATTTGAATAGCGTTTTATGTAAACTAATTCATGCGTGATCGGCCAGGTACGGCCCCAGCGCAATGTTCAAACAGGAAGCCAGGCAAGCTGACATACGTGCAATAGACGCGAGTGTTAGGAACACGTTCAAGTGGTCATGGCTTGAGGAAAAGGACTTGAAGGGAGATGATTTTTATATATATATAAAATATTTGTATTTTCAGGAAAGTCCACTTTTATCTCTGCACAGTTCAGGCTCCAAACATAAAAATATACAATTGTAATTCTTTGTAAAGAATCAACGCTAAGTGGGACACAACCGTGAGGTGGAACAAAATTCAAAATTATTCAACCCCTCTGAGTTTTACTTTAAAGAACCACCTTTTGCTGGGTATGTCTCAGTTTTGTACATGTCGAGAGAAGGGACTGAAATTTTTGATTAAGTTCGATTAGATGGAGAGAATTTGTGAACAGCAGTTGTCGGATCATTTTCACAGATCCTCAATTAGATTGGGGTCTGGACTTGGACAGGTTATGTTCAGTTTGGAATGATTCCTTTGTTAGGCCTTTAATCATAATTTGGCAGACATTTGCCCAAGAAAGAGCAGCAACAAGTCTGCAGGAAAGTTTTGAAATGAAATGAGAATTTTCAATAAACGCTGCTAAATCAAAGCAGACGGATGAGCCCTCGTTTTGGTGTAACACAATTACTTCCTTCTCCAATGCGATATATTGGCTGCACCCGGGGTTATTGACACATTAATACAAGCCTATTTTCATTTTCCTTCCATTCATGAGATTATCCCATTGTTGACATTTTGTGTGGCAAAGGACATTTTGAGACCCGAAGCAAACCTTTTGTAATTGCTGCAATTTTGGAGGCAGCGCAGTAATCGCTCCAGGCTTGACTGATGACCATTTGAGTGTGAAATGCCAGCCTTAACTACTGGCTGCAGCTCCAGCAAAGCTTCATGTTGCTTTCCTTTCCTCACATATACAAAGGACATTTAAAGCGGTGTGTTTTAAAGATGATTCACATTTCTCAAGGGACACTAATCATCTCGTATGGCACAGCACCATTTGAGGAGTTCAACTCTTGTCCACTAGGTGACAGTAAAATATCAGTTCTGCTTCCCCTCCTCCTTGTCGTGCATCACTGGTCTGATCTCTCTCTCTTTTTTTTTTAAGGTCTCTTGCCACATCTACTTTTTATTTTCATTAAAATAATAATCTTTGAAGCCCTTTTATCAGTTTTTCAAGACAGTTTGGATTGGAAATGCACAGGTACCATTTTCAAGCCATTCTAGATGGTTAAAAATGTCTGGCAAATAATAGGGCTGAATTTGTAAATAAGTAGCTGACATGGAAATATTGTTGACTCTTATTGGATTGTTGTTCTCCTTGAATTGAATATGTGAGACTGATGTTTCTGGTTGGCAGTGCAGTAAATTCCCTCCATCGCAGTATGTTCCAGCGATATGGGCTGAAATATGTGCCACCTTGTTGAAAATTGTGTGTGCGTGTGTGTGTGTGTGCGTGTGCGTGCGTGTGTGTGCGCACGTGTGAGAATGATATTTTGTCTCTATATGTGCCCCTGTGACAGACTTGTCGACGAATTCAGGGTGTAGTTTGCCTTCCGCCCGAAGTCAGCTGGGATAGATTCCAGCACTCCCCTGCAACCCCTCGCCTTTTGATCCGTCGTTGTCAACCATTATTATCATTGTGAAGCAGAATTCACCAACCGTTGGAATGTTCGGCCTCTAATATGGAATGTGGGCTGGACTTAGACTGTCGACAGACGGGGTTTGTCTTAGCATTCTGATGTGTTGTCGTAAACGCAATCATGACAGCTGCCGAACTAGCTACAGATAGAACAAACAAGATAATGTCTAGCTGCATTTGCTCAATTGACTGTTCATGTTAGTGTCTTTCAAATAGGTTGGTGATGTCCTATAGAAAAATATTATTTTTTGAATACGGGTATTCACCGCTGGTGGGTTCACCTGCGTGTTATTTCCGAAGACATTTTTTTACGAAATGTGCCCGAACATAGCACGTTTCTAGTGTCAATACTTGGACTCAGGCGATGAGCTGGGGCGAAATTACTCACCAGGATTTTACACCTTTTTGACTTTGGTCACAATGCAACATGAGGATTTTAGTTATGGTAAGGTATCTTAAACTAAAAATGAAAAAAACGTAGTTCGAAGCAAACATTTGAATACAACTGCAAGTCGTTGGCTGCTGTCAATTAGGGAAGAGGATCTTTGGTTGCCAGTCTGAGCTCTGCTGTTGTTCTTTCCCAAATAAATGTAGCTGATAGTCCAGTGTGACTCATACATGCTTTATTTTTCTTCTTCATGAAACATTTCTTCTTGACTGGTACGACTTGTACCCCATATCAGCGCAGCGCTCTTCAGCAGGGCCGGTTCAAAGCACTTATATCGTTTTTGTGTTCATAAGTGTATGGAGAAGCCAATTCAGGGTGGCATTTGAGTTGGATTTATCAGCTGTCTGCAGTCGGTGTGTGCCCAGCAGGACCACTTACTTCAGGATCAAAGGGTTTGCATCCGGAAAAGGTCATATCACCAGCTTATCTACCTTTCTCCTTTTTACTCATGATTGCAAAATATCTGCTTTCCAAGTAAGTCCTCCTGAAAGACACCTTTTTGTGGGTATCGATGGTTTTCTTGTTAGGAAAAAACGTTTCCACTCTCTTCAAAGTGGGAGTCTGTAAAAATGGATTGCGAGCACCGTTACTTTTGTTGAGTTTTTATAGTCTTGAACCTTCATTAATTGTACTTCAAATAATATCTCACGACACATATTCAATTCATATCTGCAGCCACATTATCCACTGCAAAGTGGTTTAGGTTGATATACACTAATAGTATGTTAACAAGTGTAGTTTAATGGTGAAGTCCCCTGTCACACTGGTACATGTGCAGGCTTCATTAATTTAAGTTTGTGTTGTGTGTGTTTGTTTAAGGAAAGTTACAAAATCATTAGCGATATTTGTAGTTCTCCTTTAAGGTACCACAATAAATAATATCCTTGTTTTGCAACCCTATTTGATCCAAGGGCTTGATATAAATAACAAAAGACCCAGTGATAAGCGGCCTTTTGGCTGGAGCTTGATTTTTATCGATCAAATTTCCGTTGGTTTTAGTCTTGCTGGGGAGCCGTTATGTTTGAAGCAACTGTCTTTTCAAAGTCATTGAATTGTTATTGCCAAATGCCATTTTTTTTGGGGGGGGGGGTTCTGAAAAGTAGTCCACCGTTTGTGCATCTTCTCTTGAAGGCATCTTTTACTAGTTATTGGAGTATTTGCTTTTTGGAGCTTTTGTCCATCTGTATAATGGAGCAATAATGCATGGGGGTTTGCCATGATGACATAGTGAGAAACATTATAGTCTTCGATTTATTTGGCATTGTGGCTTGAGTGTCGCATTAAGCATTCACATTATCATTTTGAAGAGAACTGCAATTCCCTATTTTGTGTGATGTGTCTGTTTCAGATTTTCATTGTAAATGTCTGTAGTAGCTCAACATTGAACAACAAATACCAACTGAAAATGTGTTTACGCATATTGTCGTCTCTCAACATGCAGCAGAATGTACAGTGATCCTCGCTACTTCGCGGTTCCAGCGCATCACAGATTTTTCAGATATTCATTAAAAAAAAAAAAAAAAGCGAAAATGCCGCAAAAGGCAGCGAAAGACAGCAAGTCTCATAGAGCAACATATATAGTACTACATGTTTGTTTACTGTATTTTATTTATACAAAATACAGTATATACACTATATATATATATTTACTCCTACATGCATGTATACCGTTAAATTTGGCCTTATAAATATTATATATACTCATATACATGTACATATACCTGTACAGGGGGGCTACCTGCTTCGCGGATTTTCCTCTTTCGAGGGGGGTTCTGGTCCGCATTAACCGCAATAAGCAAGGGATACTGCAAATGAGGGACGATTAAAAGCAAAAAATAATTCAGAAAACGGCCATCGTCCTACATTTTTGAACAAACACACAGTATTTTCACCAATTGAGTAACTGTGGCAATAATGGAAGTCCATGCTCCTAAGAAGGATAATGGTGCCATCCGTCTTTTCAAGAGCCTCTTGAACCATGGCGTTGTCTGCCAAAACTACAAACAAACTTAAGTGTGGCACTTCACAAATGTTTTTTTCACTTTTTCACTTGTTAATTGTTCAGCTTGTCCTAGCTCTACTGAATGAGTTCTATGAAATACTGTATACCGTATTTTCCGCATTATAAGGCACTTCGGAGTATAAGGTGCACATTCAATGAATGGCCTATTTTAAAACTGTTTTCATGTAAAGGGCGCACCGCATTATAAGGCACATAGAATAGAAGCTACAATAGTGGCTGCGCTTGCGTTTTGCGCCCACGAGATGGAGCTACGCTAATGGGAATACAATACCATACAATACAATGCAGCTTTATTTATATAGAGTTTTCACAACCGCTGCAGCTGTGTGAAATCAGAATTTTGATCCATATATCGGATTATAAGGCACACTGTTGGCTTCTGATAATATTGAATGCTTTTTAGGTGCGCCTTATAGTGCGGAAAATAC